AGCTGGAGAGGTGAGAGGGACCTACTTGCAGCGTGGTTTGTTAAGAGCTGTTAATGTGCACATCCCCTCATTCTGACAGAAGTAATCGCAGGGGTTGGCCAGCTCATCACAACGTTGGTTCTTGAACCCTGACGTGCAGCTGCAAAACATTGTGTTGGGAGTGACACAAGGGCCCAGAGAACGTGTATTGTTGAACTGTTGCCTGCTGGATAAACGGAGACTGGCACACTTAAACCCATTCAGCTGCATCAATTAAAAGACGGCGTCTTTGCGTCGACCAAATTAGCAAATCAACAGTACAAAGAAAATCAACTCCGCTGCTCAACAAGTGGCGAGGACATCTGCAATCAAAGAGTTTCACACGGCGTTCTCCGCTCACACAAGATGGAAATACGAAGACAAACAAACTCTTTAGTTGATTTGTGAACATAACAAAAAAACAGCAGCTGTTTCATGTAGACTGGGTGACACATGAATCTGAGGCTACGTTCACTCCGCTCTGATTACTCTCGTTGCTCACCTGACTCCGCTCTGATTACTCTCGTTGCTCAATTCTGATTTTTGACTGCGACTCCAGTGCGAACAGTCGACGGCCCTGAAGTGACCATCGAGCTGACGTCGCACCCTGTGTTTACTAAAGCAAGTATGGATAATAAACCAGGGTGTGTGTCAATTTGGAAGTTGTTGATGACAACTGAAACTTTGTCAACTTTCCACAGACTAATTCCTCCATTAGTTACATAATTAGTTCCAACAAAGATTGTGATGTCTGATATAAAGTTGACTTGTCAGACTTCAGATCCAATCAATATAAAAACCCAGACTGCTAACACTGGGGTTTAGACCTGGTCAAACCATCAGTATCAGGCATCGAGAGCTGCAGTGAAGTTCAGAGCTGATTCACACTGAAGTTTATCAAAAAAAATGAAAACATAACATGCAGCAAGTGTGGGGAGTTGTTGTTGTTGTTGTTGTTGTGCCTCAAACTGGAAAGATCCATCATCAACAACAACAACAACAACAAAGACAAACAGGGTGTGTTTATAATTGAAACCAAATTTAAAGCTAAACCGTCTAGGTCTGCTCACTGACCCCTGGTGGTGTCACCTGTTTCATTAGTCAGCCTTCAGTCAGACACCGTGTGTTGTTGTAATTGTGTTAACTTAATATCATTTCAGTTCCGTAGCCTTCAGGAGGTGAAATGGCAGTTCAGCTGCAGTCGAGAAATTGGACTGAAATCGATTAAAAAAAAAAAAAAATATATATATATATACCTGTGGGGATGAGTGAGTGAGAGTGAGTGTCAGTGTCAGTGTCTGTGTCTGTGTCAGTGTCTGTGCTTCAGCCTCTAGAATTTACAGCAGCTGAAGTTTTTACTGTGCCCATGATGGGGTTGTTTATTGTTCTTATTTCCTCAGCCAATGTGTCGTTCCACGATGGTCTGTTATAAAATCTGAAAAGTAAGACATTTTTACTATCTTTATCTTTTTTAACAAAAACATAACAGTCTAGAAAATTCAAACAGGTTCAAGATGGAGAGGAAATCGACGGGCAGTGTTTCAAAAATTGACAAATGAGAGAAAACAGATGAAATAAAGAGACGGTGAACTAAGTTTCACTCTAACAAATGCATTAAATGTCTGTTCATTAGTGAAGTAAACCTGGAGGTTTTCTGCCAATTCTGTAAACAAACCCTCTCATTTGTTAGATATGTAAAGGAAATGCAGAAGCGAAACCAAGAAAATGACATAAAAACATTTTTAATCTGAGTAAATGGCGGAGCCCCACCCTCTCTGATTTTCACTCAACCATATTAATAATAAAAAAAAAAAAAACGTTTCTTAAAAGGTTGGCATGTCCACCTTAAGTCCTGAACAGGTTAAAAATCTGTTACGTGTAAAAAAAGTCCTGCCAGCTCTGGTCCTCAGACATGAATTAAAAAGGCTGTTTTCATTACTTTATATTTGTACGTTTATAATAAATATATTAAACATATACTGTATATATTTGATGCTCTCCTAAATATATTTTAAGGTAGTACAAACGACTTTGGCTTATGGCTCACTATTCAGTCATTTTTAAAGCAGTGTTTCCCAAAATAGGGGGCGCGTCCAGTTTTATTACTGTGTCTGAAATACTTCTACACTTCTTTTCTACAGTTCAGTTTCAAAGCTGTAGCTGTGAGTGTTTGTAGTGGGGAATAAATGGTCTTTGATACAATTGGCCGAGCTGAAAATGTTTTAGAACCACAGCTACTTTAGAGCAGCCGCCCTCTGTTGGCAGCCTGTGGGCCATATCTGGCTCGTGGGCTGCCTATTGGCTGAACAGATAAAGAGAGGCTGTTTTCCTTCACTTCACTGTGGTTTGGTCAGCATGTGTAAATGGACTGTCATCTCCATGCCAACGACTGGCTGATAGGCTGTCAGTGAGATCAGCCTGTTTTTATACTTTCACTTTTGATGGAACTCCAGTTCATTCTTCAGCAGCAGCAGGAGAACAGAACGAGATCGACACTTTCCAAGTTTGAAACTGAATTGTTTTTACATATTTCTGTATTAGAGATGATTATAAATATGACAGTCATGTGTCTTATAACTTGACCAACTATGACGACATGAAAAATGTCTTTTAGACCTCAGATATTTGTTGTGATGCGTTAATAATTTTAATGACCAAAGTTATAAAAAACAAATAGTCTGTCAAAAGTCTGTCATTTTGCCTGATAATAAAAAATAAATGGTTTTACAAATTTTTGTACTTTTACCACTGTTTCTTTAGACTGAGTTTGTTTTTTTGAGGTTAAAAATACAAACTTCAGTTAATGATGAAAAGGAAGTGAATGTTTGCTATAACTACGGTTCCACAATGATGGTGAAATTATCATTACAATTGGAGCCAGTCGACCCTGTGAGGCCGACACTTTGAGGGATGGCGATGAATTCTACTTTATTCTGAGTATTAAGGTCAAACACTGAGATTTCTTGACACAGACATATCCATCATCTCACACAATCCCTGTTCTTCGCAGCAAATAATAAAGCACATTATCAAGATCAGTTAACCTCAGTGAAAAGATGGGATCATTTGCATAGAAATTGATTCTCTCCCCTGGAGTTTGTGATAGAAGATCCCCAATTTCCATTTAACTACAGTGGACAATGGTCAGTTAGATAAATACAGAGCTGGGTTTTGAAATGGATTTCCAATTTCCTCTTTGGAGAGAGCGTCATGCAGCAATGCATGTGATTACGACTGAGGTTGTATTAATCTATGGACGGCCCCTTTAGTGCAGGAATTTGCCACTGAGCTTCACGGCCTGTTCACTGTAGCACTTATCTGCCTTTGTTTTGAAGGGTAAATGTTAGAACTGCTACAACTGACTGGAGTCAGAGAGGCTTCACGGCAGGAAGGGACCGTGTGAAAGGCTTCAAATGACAGGCTTGAAGGAGCTTAAACTGCTTTTTTTTTTCTTTTTCAATCTAAAACTTTAAGTCACACTGAGGTGTCACGGCGTATGACGGTGTAACAGCGTTCAGCCCCCGCTGTGTCACGGCACTCACATGGTGACATCAAACCTTCCTTCAACTCAAAGATTTCCTTCCAGAGTATGACATCTTTCTTGTACAGTTCCTTAAGCTTGGAACGATTCCCCCGTGCTGATTTTCTGTTGCGTGTCTGAGGCCACGCTCACTGGGGCACAGAGCCAACATTTAAATGGAAACTATAAGAGTGTGAATAACAGGGAAGTACATTCATTTCCCCCCACTTTCCTTTGCCCATTAAGCAGTGACTTACTGACAGAAAGGCAGGTTGGTGTCGGGGTCCAGGTGACAGGTGCCTCCATTGTAACAATATCCGTCACACAGCTGGCAGCTCGGTGCTATTCTGCCATTTGTGCAACTGCAGAGTGAAATAATAATGGTTTTAAAAGCAGAAAGCTACGCTTTTTTTTTTTTTTTTTACAGCTGCACTTTCACAAGGAACAGAAATGACTCGTGGTTCTGGTGTCATATATATACGCATGGATTCACATAAGCAGAATTCTTCGCTTGGCTTTCATTAAAATCAGCAAATGCCAAGGAATGAATTGAGTTTTAATTAAATCACTTCCTTCAGCCAGCTACAACATTTCCATAAATAAAAGGCGAGTTGAAGCCCAACAGTCCACCAGAGGAGCAGACGGATGGTGGAGATAACATACAAAGCACGTACTTGCAAACCACATCCCCCGTTTCCTCATTAATGAGGCAGGGAGCGCCGTGGCATCGGAGACATTTGTCCACCTCGCACTTGTTTCCCTCGAACCTGGCGGGACAGACACACTCCACGTAGCCGCTGCTGGACAACGTGCAGGCCTTGGAGTTCACACAGTAGTGATGACAGATGTCTGTGGACAAATGTGGGAAGATAAAGAAGCAGGATGGAGTTGAACATATATTTTCAGCTGTTCTGAACAACTCTCTGTGTTCAAACCTAATTAATTACGTTGTATTCGATCTCAGCCAGAAATAAAAAACATATAACCCTCAGGGTAAACAGAAGTCGAAAATAACTAATGATGTGCAATTTTAATAGTTTTTCCACAAACAGTTATGTCAAAGCCAGAAAGAAAAAAAAAGCACACAAAATCCAGATGTAGTATTTTGATTTTTTGTTTTTTTTTATGCACACACAGGGAAAATGTGCTGTTTGTAGAAAATAGATGGTTAATGATTCACAGTGTTAAGTGTTCCAACTTAGGGGGAAAATATGTCAGAAATCAGGAAACTAAATTTGGTGTGGATCTGTTTTCAAGCGGTGGTTACGACACTCACGGTAGAGACAGCGGTCTCCTGTATATTCTGCCAAACAGCGGCACACCGGCTGGTTCCCCTGAGTGATGTCACACGTTCCTCCGTTCAAACAGTAGTTGTCACAAATCCTCCTCTCACAGAAGGGCCCTGAGAAACCAATGTTGCATCGACAGGTGGGCTTACCTGGTTCAAAAACACAGGAATAAAAAAAGATTCACGTCATTCACGACACCACAGGAACAGTTACAAACTTGAACAGTTTTTGTTTCCTCTTGTTAATATAACACATAACGTCATGTGTGGATAATGAGGACCACAATTAAAAACTGTGAAGTCGTGTGTGGTGATTCTTTTCTCACTTACACTCTCCAGTTTCATCCAGGGATAAACACGTTTAATCCAGTATTTTTGGCAGTTTAATAACGTTCAACAACAGTAACACCCCCCCCCCCAAACATCATAAAACAGAGTTCTTTCCAGAAGGACTGAAGATATTTCTTGGTTTTTGTCGAATATATATTGACGTTTATGGTTCAAGGCTTAAAGAACTTAACAAAGGAAAGTTAGGAAGTAGCTAGAATGTTCTAACCCGAGGCGTTGACAATGGATAATTAACAAAAGAAAGAAAAGTGACTACAGTAGGTACTGTACTGCACTCTAGAATGTTCTAGGCTAAAAAAAAAAACCAAGAGAAAAATCAAATGTTTTTGTCTATCTGAAAGCGTCCACTCCACGTTGGCCTAGGTTACAGACGTGACCCTGACCTATAAACGTGGCCCACTTGTTCCTGTCTCCTGCAGCACGCGGCCCTATTTCATACCAGCATTGTGTTTTCGGGGCGAAAGACTGTGATTAATTGTCGGTACGAGTAATCCATTATCAGCAGGTGGAGTCCGTCTGCCAGTTACATTCCCTTTAGGAACTCTCACCCATCTGGCCTTTTTCTGCTGCAGCCATTTTGACACAGTATGAACAGGTAAGAATACATGGAAATAATAAAAGGATCCACTGTGGCGGTGTTCCATTCAGGTGTTTCACTTTAGGGATGTGACGCTGCGTTTGCTGGCTAACTGTCACACCACCATGTCTTACTGGAAGGCTTGTTGAACGGCGTACAGTGAATTCTGACGACTAAGTTGCCATGGATACAGGTCTCACCATGTAGGTCAGACTACACTTCTTGGTAATTTCACACTCCACCATTCTGTGACAGGGATAATCTAGTTCTGAAATGTCCGTTGGACACTCATGCTCCTTCCATCCATTGTTCTGTTAACTCACAGCTGGAGTTGAGAGAAAAAGAAAAGCCCACAGTCTCATTGAACCCGTGTCTGCACAGGATTCTGCAACAAAAACATTCTACTTTGTCAGAACATTGTTCATTTCGTGTGTACTTTGAAACAAACCTTAGCTGTAAATAATACATTTTTAAATCTTTTTTTCTATGTACTTATCCTCATGTTTCACATGTTTTAATTTAATAACAGTAGTAGTGAAGTTGATTTCCTATAAATTTTTTAAACAAATATTTAAAGAATTCAAGCACATAATTGAGTATTTTAAGCTTCAGGCAGAATATAATATTTTGTGTTTCATTTTTTTTTCTCACTCTTGTTGCGTTGTTGCATGTAGAGAGAAATATGAACTCCATTCGTGATTGGAGCAGACACATACTGTGTTTTTTCATTGTAAAAAAAAAAGCTACCATTTTTTTCATTTGCCTCTGGGGGGAGTTTATATTGAATCAAATTACAAGGAAGAACTTTTAAACAAGATCATGTCGCTCTGCAAAACACATGAGGAATGAAAGGTGAAAATAGAAGATGACATCAATAAGGCAGCGTTCAAGGGATGTAGACACTTGACTGTGTTAAAGGAATCCTGGAGTGTGAAGCAGAGATTAGCAGAGGTTTTATACGAGGAAAAACCTTTTCAATGTCATCCAAATGCTGTAACGCAGTACAACTCATCCAACAGGGTTTATTAGAGGTAAGTGTAGTATTTTAATTACAAAACAAACAATAAACAATAAATAGTATCTGTGCATTAATGGAGGTAAATGAGGATGTATGACATCATCATTACCCAAAAGAAAGTTTATAATGTAAGAGCAGCTGGAATAACAGTGTTCTGTTATTATTAAATCAGCATAATTCAAAGTAGGGGGAAGATAATGGTAAAAATACTAAATAAGTATATACATTTAAAAAAATATATTTTGTATACTATTTTGTCAAAACCATATAACACTTAAACTGCCGTATTCTTCGGATCATGAAGTTTCGGAGGGTACATGAACGCACCTCGTCTGAGAGCCATAATCTGTGTAGACCTGTTAGCTAAGCTGCTCCTCATGTTAGCGTGATGGTTCAGTAGAAGAGGTGAGGAGTTCGGTTTTTGTTCAGAAAGAATGCACAACAAAAACACAAAGGTGATTTTTAAAGGTGACTAAATCCTTTGTGCCGTAGGACATTCTGTAGCTGTACCAGCGCAGATTCTCTTGTTCGTTTCATAAAACATTAAGACAGATATTTTTTAAATGTTATTTTGAACAACTCAAAAACCAAATAAAAGGTTGGCTGAAAGACTGCTTTATAGGTACATCGTTTAATCCAGCTATCCAAAAATACACTTAGCAGAATGTCAATAATATAATTCCATTAATCCTTCCCTGAGGAACTTTATCTGTATTTTATGGGGATTTTTGTGTTTCCTCAATAAACTCACCAACTTCAGCGATATTACTTAAAATGTCTTTGCTACAAACTAATATCGTCAAACTTAAAAAAAAGCTGTAACTGTCGGTTCTGAATAATTACACTCTGCTGCCAAAAGTTCCATTAAAGTGCAGCTAAACCAGCAAAAAGTATCAGAGCACAAATTCAATGACACTTCAGTTTTTATAGATACAACTGGAAAAAGTCCAGCACCTAATTAATTACAGGTTCTCTAATCACAAAAAACAAACAAAACAGAAGCGTGAACAAACTTATTTACCTTGCTCTGTTCCTAGGTATTCAAATTAGATATCAAGAAAAGCAACTAAGGATACGGTGCATGATCAGGGTCAGATAAAAAAGTTAATTAAAAAGAGGAATAGAAAGAGAAAGAGACAAAACAAAATTCACAAACAAGAATACGATCCAGCATCAGGACGATCGCAATTCTTTTATAAATGACATTTATTCAAAGACAAAATTATGAGGTACTTTAATTATGTAGCAGAAGCATTTCAAACCTCTTATTTCAAATTTAAAAGAAATTACCAACAAGTGACAGTGCCAAGAGACACAGAGATTGGACTCTGGGAAAAACTCATTCTGTTATAAAAAAGCCCTTCAAATAAGTTTTAGAGGTCAACAAGACATGAATAAACAAGTTGTGATTAGAATAAAAAACAAACCAAACTGCCTAACTTTTCCTAACTGTTTTTTCCACCACAAACTTCCAAATATTAGTTGAACGCAGGTAAACACAGGTGTCGGCTGCAGCTGGGAACAACGAAAACAAAGGGAATTTTAAACTAAAACTAAAATGTTCAACCTAAAGAGTCCAAAGTCTCCTGAAATCTCAGGGGATCTGCAAAGCCAAACAGAAACTCTCAGCAGGCCGATTATTCTGGAAGAAAGTCGACTGTTTCAACCTCTACAACTGTTAGCTCGACCAGTGTTTCTATTGAAAACAGAACTTGAACAATTCAGATTTCAAATTTCTCTCGTGAACATCCATCAGAGACTCCAGGGGACATAATAAATTCTTACCCTTGAATAAGGTTTTGCCTTTACATATGTCAGTAGGGAATACATGTCACACTTAATGTGACGTCTGAAAAACAAATGGAAATCAATTTGTCTCTCCTGTATATACGTCGGTGCCTATTTGCTTCCCATAGCCCTCGGCATCTCTCCCTGCATTCACGCAGGAAAAAATGATGGTAAGATAAGAGACGTCGACTTAAAAGACAATTGATATTGAGAGTTTGTTTGACAGCAGACTCAATGACAAAACTGCTCAACCCACAGCTGTCATGTGGCAAATGTCAAGTGAGGAAGGCGTAGAAGTTTAAAGGAAGACAAATGTGTCTGAAAGTCCCATGCACTGAGACGCTGTGCAGAGGCAGAGGAAATGTCTGTCTGCAGCAGTGAGAAAACTCACCGCACAAAGATGATTCTGCATGAGCATAAAACTTCTCTACACACACACACACACACACACACATTCTTAACAACATTAGTTCATATTAACACAAGTAACACAACATTCATCAGTCAGCTCACTCCTCCCACAAGTGGGCGACCTTGGATATTATATGAACTGAATATATACAGTGAGACCTGAGAGCAAGACCTTTATATATAAATGAATGTAATCACAGATGCATGAGAGGAATCCATCCATGCACAAAAAACTTCACCACCAAATGGAAGTGTGATCCCAGATATTCACTGAATAGTAACTGCTGGGACAGAACAATCTGTCTCATTGAGTGAGTACTAGGTCTGTTACTGTGTCCAATGGCCTACATTTATTTTTACTTCATTCATAAACTGTCTACTTCAGGATCTTCCTGATATTTGACTGTTAACACACTGAACGTTTATTTCAGCACCAGGAGCTGTCCACCAAGTTCTAATTACATCACTCCTGACTAACCGTGGGGATAAATAATCTATTAGTGACATCACAGTTACATCACACATGTGGGTATAATATTTTAGTCGACTAAACTATATCCTACATGGCCAGATACTAATGTCCAGTTCTGGCCCACGGACCACCTATTGACGACCACTTCTGTGTAGTGTTTGACAGGACTGATTTGGTACTTACCAAGAGGTGAACCCACACACGTGCCTCCGTTCAGGCAGTAGTCTGTGCAGTGGTTAACCTCACAGCGCTCCCCTGAAAAGTCCGGCCAGCAGTAGCACCTCCAGTCTCCTTTCTCATTGGCCAAACAGCGCCCTCCATTTTCACAGGGAGGTCGACACAGTTCACCTTCACCACAGAAAAGACCACAACACTCAAGGTCACATGGTGCAGTATCTTCAAAGAAGAACAATACTACAGTTTTAACTGACTGCAGTTGTCATGTGAGTGGATTTGTTTTTCATCTAAACCATTAAGACAAACGGTCACATCACAGACTTGTGAAAGCTGTCCTACCTGAGATGTTGACGTCACTACAGGTTCCATTGACGAGGACCTTGCCCTCTGGACACGTACATGTGGCTCCAGTTGGATTCAGCAAACACATGAAGTCGCAGGACATTCTCAGGCACGGGTTTGATGCTGTGAATGAAGATTAAAAAAACATTCTGTTATCTTTGAGTCTGCTCTGTGATTTATCTGACTTTTTTTTTTTTAAAGCCTATTTTCTGTTTTGAATGCTGTTTTCCTCCAGACGCCCATCGAGGCATGGCTGAAGCTTCAGCCTGGCACGTCAACAGATGGAAACAAACAAGAGCACAATGTGTCATTTTCTATTTAATTGAATATCATGGTCTTGAATGGTGTTTTAATTTTATTCACTGGCAAGATAGCAGCCCACGGGAGAGACGCCCAGTGACTGCTGTGTTCCCCACTAGATATTCACAGATATTTCATATGTACAGCAACAGTCAAGTCCAACAGTTCAAAGACACATGTTGTAATTTCAAAAGGTGTCTGATTAAACCTAAAACTGATTCAAGTTCAATTCATTTGACTGGGTTTTCCATCCCCGAAAAAAAAAATAAATTAATTAAATCAGAGCAAATTTCATCTCTTCAACCAAACTGAATCGTGACCAACCAAAAATATTTTTCAAGGTTTTTTATTTAAAAGAAAAGCCCGCGTTGGAACAGAACTTGCAGTAGTATTCAGACTAGGAAATGTAGAGAAATATGTTTGTTATTTTCTTAAATAAAGAAATCTAAAAACGACTAACTACCCCATGAATATGTTAAGATTTTCTTTAAAATAAAAACTGTATTAAACTGTTTTCAAACATTAAAAATTGCTTTGAATATTTTTATTTTTTAGTGTGAAACTACAGGGAAGCAGCGTGGCCTCACAGTAGGAATGTTCTGAGATGTTCTCCACATGCCCTGTGTGGGTGTTCTCCTGCTTTCTCATGGAGTCCAAAGACACGCAGGTCGGGTTAATTGGCGAGTGGGTGGGAATTTAAGCCTGGAGCCTTGTTTGTTCTAACATGTCAGCCCTGTGGAAGGCTCTAGAACTCTTTAGGCCACGCCCAACTCTGACTAAATGAGAACCAAGACACTGACCCTAAGATGTGAGTTTAGCCAAACTGCTGATAAAATAATGGGCTCTGATGTATTTCTGTCGACACACTGGGCTGGTGGTAGGAACCTGGACATTTTATGCAGTCCACATTAATGATGGCCACCTCTTCATCACATAAAGGTTGTGTTTCTCCTCTTTTTCTTTTTTTCCAGGCCTCATGCATCTGCTTCCTACACAGACTACGCACTCTTTCACTGGCCTAATAAGTTCCCTGGGAGCAGAACAGCTGCCCTGCAAGAGAGAAAATGATGAATACCAGATGATATGTGAAACTCTACCAGGATTGGCTGTGGACCAGCTGGATGCCAAATTACTAACTCTGGTTCTACTACCGCTGAGTACGAAGAGGAACGCTACCCAGGATGCACATGGTCGAATAGATGGAAATCAGAACTGAACCTGAAGTATTCCCAATAAGAATAAGAATAATATAGCATTTAAAATAATCCCAAAACCTTTTGTTGTTTTTGAATATTGCTGTGATCCCAAGACCCTTACTTACATTTAACTACTACAAATATGTCTTTTATTTATCCTTACCATTACCCTTAGTCCCCACAATGGTGGCTGCACCAGAACGGCACACACACCGACACATGGATCTAACGACTACTGAAATTCACGGAGAATTCAAGGAGAATCTTTTCCCCCTAGGAAACTGTGTACCACCGGCTGTAGGCGAACCACAGTCTGAGAACCACTCCTCTGATGAAATGTTATCAACTTGTTCACTGATATATGACGATATGTTAGAATCCAAAGAAAGAAATGTATCTTTGACCCCAAACTTTTACGTGTGTTTCTGTTATACTTGAAGACTCGTGTCCTTCTTAACCCAAACAGAAGGAAACAACATGTTCAATGACACCTCCTCCTACAGGAGCAGGTTGACCTTGGCCTTCAACAGCACCTATTCAAATGTACACAGGAGGAATGAGGAGCGTTATCTGTGGAAGGAGGCACGATAGCTTCCCTTCGCTGATCCAGTTCACCTCAGTGACAACTGCACCTTCTCATCACTTATTCTTTTGTCAATGAAGCTGTCTTCAAAATATCCTTCAACTCCTTCTTTTCAACTCCTTCTTTTCAACTCCTTCTTTTCAAAGTGTATAAAGTCCAACATTTTCACTTTCTCTATGGTCATGCATAAAACAAATGCCAAGGACAATGAAGTCAAGAATAAAGTGCCTAAGCCTTCTCCTTTTTGAAAAAACAAAACACAAGTTTTAGAAAATAAAAAGTGAAACTTTGTTGAACACAGGTTTTAGAAAATAAAAAGTGAAACTTTGTGCTTTGTCACATGCCAGTGTAACATAAAGATAAAGAAGCCAAGGTTAAATCCACGTACCATCCTGTTGTTTGTACCGATGGGAGATTAAAATGTTTGTTGGTTTCTCTACCCCTAAACTCAGAAATTCCGCAGATTGTTTGCCAAACTTGTGGATCTTGAACACCTCGTGTTTGAGTCCCGTTCCATAGATGTAGTCTTCAAATAAATCTATTCTGTATGGCTGGGAGATTCCTGCACAGGAGACAGAAACAAGATATCCAGGTAATCCTTTGCAAGGCTGCAGATTTGTTTTATTTCTTTGAGAAATAAGAGCATGAGATTAAAAAAAAAAATTGTTAAAAAAAAAATAGTGATTGTCAAAGTTAAAAATAATCAAATTAATTCAAGGCCTTTTTCTAAAGTAGGTTTCCTTTTTAGAGTTTCACAATTACTCAAACAAAATTCTTTAGAAACAAATGAATATTGTTTGTTTAATATATATATATATATATAATACACATATACTGTATATATCATTTCTGATAAGGAGAACTTCTTTGTTGAAAGTGAGTCCCTCAGTTTATAACATCCTACATCCTCACTGTCTGTCACCTGCAGAGATTAGGGATTAGGTGTGTGTGTGTGTGTAGTATGAACTTTGTTTACAGTGTGTGTGTGTGTGTAGTATGAACTTTAGAGTGTGCCTTATATGAATCACTTCCATTAACTTTAATGCAGCTCATACACTGTGCAGAGGCAGAGTGTAATTTTGAGGCCTGTAACCACTTTAATGGTTGAAATTACAAAGTAAATACTTGGGTGAGTGGAAGTGGGAGAGTGATAGTTCACTTAGAAGCGGTGCCGTGGATGTCGGTGTACATTACCGTGTCTCTCACTGATTGTCACCAGAGGGTCTGAGCCTTCCAGTCTCACACTTCCGATGTGCGAGAGCTCAGGATCAGCCCAGTATAAACGCTGGTTAAAATAATCGATGGCGAGACCTGTTGGAAAAGAAAGACAATAAATATAAAACATAATTCTTTATTGTATTTTTAGATATATATATGTTTATCTTTGTTTATTCAGTAGAATCAAAAGCTACCTGTGGGTCTCCTTAGTCCTTTCTCCAACAGAACTCGCCGTAAGGATCCGTCCATGGCTGATTCTTCAATATGTGAGTGATCACCTATGACACTCCAGTACATCATGCTGCAGCAGACAAGGACAAACACTACGCTCTCACATCACAAACAACACAACTCAATGATACATCCACGCTAAGGTGGGGCAGCAGTCTCTCTCTCTCTCTCTCTCTCTCTCTCTCTCTGAAGTGAACTACTGTATGTTTGGAGAAGGGAGAGGTGTGAAGCCCAAAGAACACTCTCCACAGAGTGAAAGATGGAATATGATACGGTTGGTCGTCATGTGATGCATCTAGAACCTGGTTTGTCTTTAAAAGGATCTCACGTTCTCTGCAGGTAATACAGTTAAAAACTGTGATATAATGTTAACAAAGTGTGAGGTTCTAAACTGACGGGTATAGTGAGAAAATTTGCTTTTTAGACAAGTTTTAGTTGTTGGGTAAAATATGTATCATGGGAAATTATGATTAAAAAAATGATAATTAAGAACAAACACCTTCACAAAAAATCTGTCAAAACTGGTGGAAACCAATCAGCAGAATACCAAACTCTTAACTAACCAAGTCTTTGACCAAATCCAATAAAAAAAGAGTTGAAAAAAACAAAACAAAAAAACAAACCATACCAACCATATTTTTAGTCTCTACCCTGAGACAACAGTTTTTGCTTCTGATCAGTACAACAAAACTACTACTACACTACTTCATGCGTTGAGACTCATCTCCATTTCCAGGGTGTCTTGGCGTTAGGGAGACAGAGGCTACGCCCTCTAGTGTTCCTCGTATTATCCTAAACATGAGATTTTGGTTTGATAAAGCTGGCTGATAAAGCTGAGCAGACATTGACTGATTAAAATGCTAACCTAAGTTAAATGAGGAATGCATTAATTACTCCATTATAGAGTAATTGATGATGTAATCAGTTTGGGCTCCAACAGCTCAATTAATACGAGTCGTTTTCTCCGATCACACTGTGGTTATTATTATGAAGGATGAACTGACAGTGGTCTTTGTCACCGTAACTTTGTTATTTATCACTTCAACTTATCGTAGCATCAGTGTCTTAATGACGCAGGAGGAAGCGCTCTACATTATGTGTGTTAGTGGGTTCTCAGATAATCACACTTATTTAGAGAGCATACATAACAGTTAGGGAGGAGACAGATCTTACCCTTTGGCAGGGTTGACAGCAATAGCATACGGTTCTCCTGCTATGTCAGTAATCAAGCGGGTGCAATTTGGTCCCTTAAGCTGCCCCACGTTTATGGAATAGCGGAGTTTAGTCCAGTGGGCTGTGTAATAGCTGAACCAGTGCATTCGAGAATGATCCGTCCAATAAATGTTGCCTGTGATCCAGTCGGCGGAGACGTCTCTGGGGCGACGGAAGTCTGAGCACTGCAACCGGTAAAAGACACAACCTCAGGTTTTATGTACTGTATTTAATACAATTAAAAACGGTGAAGTCGTTTAACATGTTAGTAAACATTGTACTGAGATGTATGATGGGAAAATTAGCTTTAAGGGCGATTTTTAGTTTTTGCCTAAAATATGTATCATGAGGAATTATGTGTAAAAATAATAATTTTGAACATCAACAAAAAAAGAGCTTTTACTCATAAAATCATGAGATAAAACAATTTTGCAGCAGAAATCTCGTCAGCGGGATTAAATGTACTTACAATGTTTCGGACGTTTGTTTTACTCTGAGTCCTGTCCAGAGAGTCTTTGTAAAAAACTCCCCCTGGGTTGAACTGGGTTGCCCAAATAAACTTTTGGTGGTGAACCAGTGAGTCCATTCCTATAATGCGTGCGTTGTCTTCAATATGAGTCAGCAGTTTGTGTCCTTGGCTCTGGTTAAACGGATAAATGAAACTTCGGATTTCAGTGTCGTTGGCCAGGTAGAGGACTCGATCCTGGGGACCTGAAACGACGACGTGTGCAGTGAAATCAACAGGAAAAGAGGGAAAATGGGAAAGATTGTCTTTTAAAATGAGAATATAATTACATTACATTAATACCATGTGGAATTAGGGGTTTGTTATACACCTTATGACTTTAACATCATACCTTTGGCAACACAGTTGCCATTGATTTCCTTATAGTTTCTGTCACACGAGCACTTGAAGGATCCTTTAGTGTTTGTGCAGTAATGTGGACACGCGTCGAACTGCAGACACTCGTTAATCTCTGAAAGAAAAGAGCGTTTTTGACTCATTTAAAAATATGATTTGTTATTTTTAATCACATGGATTTAATATTCTGAATCGATCTAACCTACAAATGTATATTTAAATAAGTTAGTATTTAACTTTTCTAGGTGGTAAAACCAATAATCAAGGTGTTTGGAAAGATTCTGTCCCTCTGACAAATACAGCTGATGACCCGTGGTTTACTTGTCAAATTTCAAAGAACAGAGACTGAAGGCATTACCTTCACACTGGCCCGTCTTCTGGTTCCTCTTAAAGCCCGGCTTGCACTGACATACAGCATTAACATTTGTTTGGTTGCAAACAGCATCTTCTCCACATGGATTTGTTTTCTTCCCACATAATTCTCCACTTGAAGCTGCAAACAAAAACAGGGCTTTGATTGCACACAGGCACCAGGCCTTTGGATCCCAGACACCTGCTGTGCTTTTCTTTTGATGTTCAAAAGGCAAAAGGACAACATCATCGATACCGTTCACACACTGTAGCTCAGCGCACACCTTTTAAACATGTGCATATGTGAACTGCCATCAATATTAAACTTTTGCGCCCCCTACCACCGTCACCGTAACATGTCGTCTCTTTGCAAGTACCACCTTTGATCTGTGTATTTAAATCAGCTGCTGCAGCACTCACAGGTTTTGCAGTCTTGCTCGTCGGAGCCGCCGTCTCCACAGTCGTTGAAGAGGTCGCACTGCAGTTGGATCGGGACGCAGCGTCGGCTGCTGCAGGTGAACTCTGTTTTACCGCATGGCCGAGGTCGTCCTGCGGCCACCTCTGCTTCACACACGGGAGTCCGTCAAAAAAAACAGACACAATTTACTGTAACTTACAAGTAAAACACAACTATGTCACATTGGTTTATCTGTATTATCAGTAGGTTATTCACCGTGCTACTCTGTTGACATTATTATGTTCCTCCAGCCCAGTGGGTGGCAGCATAGGTAAGATAAACTAGCCAATAACCATTAGTATGTGTACAATTATTATAACTATTATTGTTCTCAATCAATATTCTAACATCTTCTAGATTCAGGGCAGCTTGTGAACCAGTGGTTATTGGAACAAGGTACCAGGTTCAAATCCTACCTTGGCTATAATTTTTCAAGTTTAGGAAAACAATACATATAATAATTTTTCTTTCGGTTCTGCAAAAATTTTCTTTAACCTGATTTTGAATTTCAAATTAAAGAAAATGTAAGCAGTAACTTTGTGATTAGCCAGATTTCAGCTCACAGTGGTAAAAATGAGCAGCTCTTTATTTCAGATTCAGGTTTAAAACATTTTTAGTATTTCTTTGGTATTCGTTATCATTTTTTGATTTTTGAGTAGAAAACCATAAAAAAGAACGTGTGTGTATTGACATCAAGGTCCAAAAACAACAGAGAGCAGAGATGAAAAAAAAAACAAAAGATGAAGAGAAAGATGACAGGAAAATTATATTACTGTGAGATTTAAGAGATGGATGAAGGTAAAAAGCATTTGGTGAAAAGTAATGGAGTGAGGTAGAGAGATGGATGGATGTATTACACGTAAAACACAACTATGTCACATTGGTTTATCTGTATTATCAGTAGGTTATTCACCGTGCTACTCTGTTGACATTATTATGTTCCTCCAGCCCAGTGGGTGGCAGCATAGGTAAGATAAACTAGCCAATAACCATTAGTATGTGTACAATTATTATAACTGTTATTGTTCTCAATCAATATTCCAACATCTTCTAGATTCAGGGCAGCTTGTGAACCAGTGGTTATTGGAACAAGGTACCAGGTTCAAATCCTACCTTGGCTATAATTTTTCAAGTTTAGGAAAACAATACATATAATAATTTTTCTTTCGGTTCTGCAAAAATTTTCTTTAACCTGATTTTGAATTTCAAATTAAAGAAAATGTAAGCAGTAACTTTGTGATTAGCCAGATTTCAGCTCAGTGGTAAAAATGAGCAGCTCTTTATTTCAGATTAAGGTTTAAAACATTTTTAGTATTTCTTTGGTATTCGTTATCATTTTTTGATTTTTGAGTAGAAAACCATAAAAAAGAACGTGTGTGTATTGACATCAAGGTCCAAAAACAACAGAGAGCAGAGATGAAAAAAAAAACAAAAGATGAAGAGAAAGATGACAGGAAAATTATATTACTGTGAGATTTAAGAGATGGATGAAGGTAAAAAGCATTTGGTGAAAAGTAATGGAGTGAGGTAGAGAGATGGATGGATGTATTAATGAAATAAAGGGAGAAATGGACAGAGGACGAGGAGGTTTGAAAGACTGGAAAAGAAGGAAAGTGATTTTTTCTGTTCTATTATGTCTGACGTGAAAGGGAACAACAACAAAAAAAAAAGTCTAATGTGATGGAGATTTATTCACAGAGCTTTATTCTGAATCTAAAAGGTTCTTCTCACCATGCTGATAAATCCATACGTCATAGCAGAGACTTTCATCTCTGAATTAAAGACTTTTCAGATTTTCTTCACATCAAGTTCTTGTTGAAACGTGTGAAAACATCTGTTGCTCTGTTTGTTCAGATAACACGTTTTTCACCTTTTTGGTTGGCATCAAAACATGAAGCCAGTCACTGAAGTTCAGCTCTGTTTGTTGACATTTTTATGTGCACTTGATTGATACTGATGAAAGTCAAATAATACACTTGTTTGAGATTGTGTGTGTAGTTTTAATCATAATTAAAAAAAGAATAATAATTTATTTAAAAAAGGTATTTCACCAGGATTTTTTTGATCAATTATTTGACAATTCAGGCGGCCACATTTGAATTCCAGGCGACCCCACGTGGGGTCCTGAACCCAAGGTTGAAAAACTGTTAGACCAAAGTGCAGATCACACGTGATTGTTATTGTTGGTCCTAAACATTTTAATCAAATTTCCTGAAATGAAACTTAGTTTCTCTGAGATACACTTTCTAAGACCAAATCCAAAGGTCGGATATTTTAAAATGCATTCTGTTCTCACCGCACTCTTCTTCATCAGAGTTGTCACCACAGTCGTCCACTTTGTTGCAGACTTGATCGGCACGCAGACACACGTGATCGTTTCTGCAGCGGAACGGCCTTGTAGGAGGGCAGGGAAGTTTGGCTGTGAATAAAGGCCAACAAGAAAGTCATTAATTGTGTTTGAAACAAAAACACCTTTATGAAAAGTCAATAAAAAACTCCTTTAGGAAATAGCAAATTCCTTGGTTACAAAATTGAAAGAAAAACCTTGGCACACAACCCACCACACATGTCCGTGTCTTCATCCGAGTTATCTCCACAGTCGTCCTTGCCGTCACACACCCACGTGTGGAGTTTGCACAAGGTGTTGTTGCAAGTGAATTCATCGGCGCGGCAGAAGAAAACTCCTGCAGGAACAGAGATTCATGTTTGAACTCATGTGTCTCACATTTTCATTTCAAACGCTCAGGACCATAAGTTTATATTTATTTCTGTGATAGCTCATGGAAGAGGTCACGATTTGACATGTGAAGTATGAAGTATTTTTACAAAGAAATAAAAGTGACTTATCATAAGAGTGTAAAATCATTATTACCTTGACTGCAGTTTTCCTCATCACTGTGGTCCATACAGTCCAGAACGTCGTCACAGCGCCATCGTCGGGGAATACAGTGGGCACGATTCAAACACAAGAATTCATCTTCTCTGCACTCCTTCACACAACCAATCTGTTTACAACAACAACAACAACAACAACAACAACAACAACAACAACAACAACAACAACAAACAACCATCAGAAAACAAACAACCATCAGAACCAGTGATGTTTCATGTTGAAGACCGTTGTGGTTTAGAACACGGCGTTCAGAAACACAGACCACTGACCTGAAGTAAAAGTAATGTAAATACACATCTAGTTAACAGAGTTGATTAGACCACGTGGAGCGACACTGACCTCATCTGACCCGTCCAGACAGTTGTCATGTCCATCACATCGTAAGCTGGCCGAGACGCACCCTCCACTGGCGCACACATACTCATTCACAGAGCATGAAGGGAGTACTAAGGTGGGACAGAGGCACATCAGTCACACAAACATCTGAACTCCCTTAATGTCCCCGTCCTGTTGAGGACAACGGCCTCACCAGAGGTTGGAAAGTTAAAACAAGTTCTACGAAGAAGTCAAGATGCACAGTAATGACTGGAATCCATCAAACTAATAAAGATAATTGTTGAGTTATAGTTTTCCATATTTTTTCTTAATAATAATTCCATCATTTATCTCAAGTGATTTAGTTCAGTTTTTATTTCATTTTATTGTAAAGCACTTGCAGTGCGTTCATGTGTCCAGAACATCAGCATGTAGAACAGAGGTCACCAATTATATTTGTCAGAGGGCCAGAATGTTTGTCTGGACAGACACCTCGGGGGCTGGAGACCCAGAATGAAATAAAAATCACATCTAACATTATTAATTGGTGTTTATTTTGGAAACCCATGGACCCAAAACTGAAGCTTGAACACAGCACTTGGCACATAAATGGACAGGAAGGTAATTTCTGAGATTTCTGCCAAATTATGATGCAGTTTTTTCTTTCAATAACATAATAACAGGCTTCATGTAGGTGAGTGAAATGTGAAACCGGTTGTTTTGAAATTACTTGTGCATTTAATGGAAGGCCACTTATATATAAAACCGAGTTCCATGGTGATAAAATATAGGCTTCATGTTGAGTAACCTGACTCAGACTGCAGACACAGTTTAAAATTATTTATATATATATAGGGAGGGATTAAACACAGAAGTCAAATTTCATTCTGTCTGTTTGTGACGGTGTTGTTGTCTCTTGTGCAGATTTTGACAGTTGTTTCACTACAATGACATAACAGTTAAATCAAATATAACATGAGCTTCTGACTGATATACATGATACTTAGATCCACACGTGAAAGTGGCCTGAGCATGGATAGAAAAAAAAAAGAAGAAGGATTTTGTGTCAAATGGATTTTGACTACACATTAGCCTGTAGCGCTAACACAGTCCTGGTCATGGTTGGTGTGCTGTAAGAAAGACACCTTAATATGCATGTGCTAATAGCTTTGTTGAGTCATATTAGTTTGAAGTGGATAAAGTGGGTGATAAGTCACCACAAGCCTTTTCAGCTTTCAGTTCAAACTGCCTGTTTGGATAAGTGCAGTCTCTCACTCTCTCTGTGTGGTCAGCAGAACAACCTGGACTTGACCATCAGGCAAGAGGTGGAGATAAGAAAGAGACAAAAGAAAAAACACAAGGAAGTAAGTTCCAAGGAATCTGCTGAGTGTTCGTCCGACCAGGACAAAGGTGTCATCAGTGGTGAGTGAGTGTGACGCACTCAGAGTGTCTGTCATCTGCAACTCATTGCAACATTTTGGAAACGGGATCAGATTCTCACCTGTGGCCTGGCAGTTTTTCTCGTCTTCTCCCATCTTGCAGTCCTCCTGTCCATCACACAGCCACTTCAGTGAGATGCACAGGTTGTTGTGACACCTGAACTGGTCGTCCGCACAGTGTGCCTCACAGCCTTTCTGTAGTTCAGTGACACGGGCATCAGGTTAGAAGATGAGAGAATGAGTTAAGAAAATTCATAACTTTATTCTTATAAACATCCAACTTAATTTCTATTATTAACATGATATTATACTATTATCATAATACTATTATCAACTATGATATAATTGTCCGATTTCTCATATTTTATTTTCCTCAATTTCAAACTATGATATAATTGTCTGATTTCTCATATTTTATTTTCCTCAATTTATTACTTGAATCTTTACATTGTAAAACTTTATTCTTGCATTATCACATCTTAATTCTTTAAGAAAAGAATTTCAGGACTTTAAAACCATTTTTTTTATTTGTAATCAATCTGGTTGAAACTATTTTTGTTCAAATGCCATCGTACGTGACTGACAGGGTTAAATAAAGGGTTAATGAGGGTTACAGTGTTCTGTATAGAGACGGATTATGGCAAACGTATATAAAAACTGCTTTGGAAGAACTGAACACAGTAATGCATTCAGAAGAGAATGAATGATAACAGCAGGCATTTGTCCTTGAGTTCTACACTGCAATGAATCATCACAAATAACTGAACCTTTCTGTTGGAATTTTGCAAAAAAAGAAAATCTCTTTGCAGTACTTACATTCAAGTATATTACAAAAGTATAACGCAGCAACACTGAAGATATATTATCTAATAATTTATTAAAACATTTTTATGAATTCAAGATGCCGTTGAAAGACATGGTTGTTTACGACTACGACTCATCACAACAGTGGAGTGATCTTAACATCTTAACAGTAATTAAAATAATAACAAAGAGAGAGTAATATATCAAATTCATTTCCATTCTAGATGAATAATGTGGCCTTGATGTGTTTCAGTTCATAAGAAAGAAGTTACATAGTTCAATGATTGATACTGTTTCACTTCTATATTGAAATGATATGTATATATATAAATATAGTAAACATGTAGTAGGTGGTAAGTTCCTTTTCATTTTTAATTTAACTCTCCAGCACACTGACCTCATCTGAATTATCTAAGCAGTCATAGTCGCCGTCGCAGCGGAATCGAGAGGAGATGCAGTCTCCACTGGCACAGGCAAAGTCCTTGTGATTACAGGTGACTGGCTCTGAAAAAAGAATGTAAATACAGTCACGAGGCTGGAGAGGAGTATTCACTGAAGTAAAAAAAAAAACCTCTTTATGCTGTTTAGAGCTCGACCGTCCCACAGGACAACATTAGAACAGAGCTAAAAAGCTCCAAGACCCTGCTGTGGTCATCATGGAGGCCTGGGTGATATGGGTTTGCTGCCAGTCCTCGACTCCCAGCAGGCACTGCTGTCTGATACCTGTCTGCTGCTCCACCTGCTTAATTCTCTGCAGTCCAGCACTTGACTGGCCTTTATTTGCATATTAAGCAACATTACTGGGTTCACAGAGGCATCGTCTAATAAATCATCATGATGCATACTCAGCAAAAACACACACAATAGACACGCACGAATCAATAGAGAAAAATTGGACGAGGTGTCAGATGAGGACTTAATGAAAAGGCTTTTTTTTTCGGAGGTGATGAATAATATTATCTAAAGACAAAGGATATTGTCCATCTGAAAGACCTGGAAGAGACTATGTTTGAGAGATTTATAATTGTTCTTTGAAAAGCAGCGGAAATAAGAAACGTCTTAATGGAATGTTTCTTCAAATTTGGTGCAAGGTAATTTGAAAAAGTGTGTGTGTGTGTGTGCAGTTCTGCTGTAGGTTAAGAAGAAGACCCATCTGTCAGGTCCAGACGAGACAGAAGAAACAGCAGCTAATACAACAGTTAAGGTTCTTACTGAACCTGAGAAACTAAAATTAGGGATGGATCCAGTTTGGTGGTCAGCAGTTTTAGACGTGGGCGACATGGACAGCCAAGCAGGGCCTTGGCCAATCAATCAAAAGATCAATAAAATAAATAAATAAATGCTGTACTAATTATTTCTATAGTTTTTAGTTTTGTCACTATGTGTATTACAGTAACAGACCTACCATATCTGCTTATTTTGTATTCTATATTTATACTTATATAAAATACACACATACATATATATATTTATCCACTGTACGTTTCCGTAGGTCTTGCCCAGACTGAGTAACTATTCCATAAGTCACTCAGTGAAGTGGTGTAAAAAGCCTGTTGTTACAAACTGCTCACGTGTCACTGCAGTGTGACACAGCCATTTTTCCTTATTAAGGAGAATGAGTCGTGTGTAATTATTTTTTAATCGAGTTATACGTTATGAAAACCATTAGTAAAGCAGCGGAGGCAGCACGTAAACTAATCAGGTCTCCTGTTATCCCACAGCTTAAACTGCCGTGGCACCTTCGAGTCAGGTCCATGAGATGACGGCGTTTCAAACGTGCATCTCTAACCACGTCCGTGTTTGATATTTAACACTGGCGCTGCAGGAGGACGGCTATACCACTGAGTACGACAAAACAGCAGAACTGAAAATCAAAGGCTGTACAGATGTGTGTGTGCAGGAGACGGTGACAGCGGTGCACGGGACGCTGCGCCGCTGAAAGTCACATTCATTACTGCTCAGGTGTACAAAAAGGCAAAACTGTATATTAGGGGTCAAAAATGAGCTGCCACAACATGGGGGAGGTGAGTACTTACTGCAGTTCTGCTCATCTGAGTTGTCTCCACAGTCGTTCTGACTGTCACACCTCCAGTGATCTGGGATGCAGTTGTTATTCTCACAACGGAATTCATGTGGTCCGCAGGTCTTTTCATCTTTATCATCAGAAGCAAACAAACATGGAGATGAAAACGGCTTCAAACAACATGAATATTAAGTGTGCTATCCTACCTATCGTATTTAGAATGTGTAATCACAGTTTCCTCGGGGTTCGGCTGAGCAAGTATGACGCCAAGTTCAAAACACAGTATGTACTCAGGAGGCTAACGCAGCGCTAGATGAAATACCTGACTTTGCTACCAATTTTTTTCAGTCCTCTCAATTTGTGACAGAAAGTTGGCGATGTTTAACTTTCTTGGAGACGTGACCAAGAAATTTCAAAGAACAAACAGAAAAATATATTCAGAATAATTTGACTTTGGCTTTGTTACAAACTGAACCCAAACTGTTTGTCGGCCCCTGTCTGTGCTGACAACTACAAAAGGAAACGGTGAGGAACTGATGCGGCTTTGACAAAACAATTCCTCTAAAGAAATAAAGGCTGGCTTTACACTTTTTGTTATTATTTGATATACTATTTAATATAACAAAAATATGTTTTTTTATATTTTAAAGGATAAAAAAAAGAAAAGAAACCAAAAATGTTTTTTTTTCCAGTACAAAATAAAACCTTCACTGTTACTGAGATAAAAAAAGAGAACACTGCATACAACATGTAATATGGGTTGAGGGTCTTTGTGTCTGAACTCTAATACAGTTGGTAAAAGTCATCAGATCCAACTGTGACAGGACAGAGAAGTTGGTTGAAGCTCGTGTTTTTGTATTTCTTATCATCAGATTTGGACACAGTCGGACAGAAAAACATCTAAAAGCCTCTCAGCTCTGTTGAGTTTATCAGGGTGTTTTTTTACAATAATACAGATATTCCTGAAAAGATATTCCTGACAGTGAGATAAAGACACAGGTGTCAGGCAGAGGTGTCCTTTTGTGCTAACTCACGCAGCACCGTCAGACGACAGTGAAAGTAAGTGGCCAAAGGTCAGTCGGGGCAGGTGTAGAATAAATTCAGATTCATGTATCGTCACTGTTTCACTGAGAAGGGAAGTGAAGCGGTGTGATTAATGGTTAAGTGGGCTTTCCAAACTCACCGCAATTAGCCTCGTCTGACCCGTCGGCACAGTCAGGGTCCTCATCACAAACCCAGAGTTTGGAGATGCAGTGCATTGAGGCTTTGCACTGGAACTGGTCTGGGGAGCATGTGCTCTCAGCTGCAGACACAGAGACAGATGGTGTGTGGAAACAGGGAACCCACTCTATTTACACATGCAGGCTGGACCAATGGATACGGATTAGATAAAACTATTGCAACACATCAAAGTAAAAACAATCATTGATGACTTGTTAATGGACTAATCTTTGACTAGAAATGAATGAATTACAGAGACTGTACTGATAAATGAAAAAACATACAGGTTCATCAGAGAAATACTCCGTGATGGAGGCCGTGTTTTCGACTGAAATGTTGTACTGGTGTAAAAACTCTGCTCACTTTCTGTTAAGATGGCTGTGTTTATCAAGTCAACCTTAATTCCTGATGTTTACAGAATACTTATTCAATCTCATGGTTTCAAATTGTAATTTTGTGATTGTAGCTTTAATCCACAATGTGTCCTTCAGTCCATAAAGTGGTGACCTAATTTGGCTTGTTTGGATTCAGCCTCCATTTGAATTCTATTTCACTGCTGTGGACACTCCAGCGTTGTAATGGATTCCTCCCTTTAATACCTCCTGCAATCACATGCAAGACAAGTGTGTGTGTGTGTGTGGAGGCTATGAATCGGTGTGATATTCTCAGAAGTTACATCAGGGCAGAGAAAATCGCCTCTTGTCCTCTGTGTGATTCAGGGTTTAAATCCCTTTTCAGTCACATGGGTCACCTCTGGAATACTGAAGGAAGATTGAAGTGTAACGTTGACGTCATTAAAGTGCTCCTCTAGTGCTCACATTAATAAACAATCAAATACTCAACTCAACGAAGGTGATGAATTTTTATGTACTGGTAAATAACAATAAAAAAAACAAATACAGCTTTAAAAAAAACACTTTAAAGTTGTGAAGAAACGCTGACAGAAACTAATCAACCGGAATCTTCATGTTGTTTTCCTGAATATTTGAGGATTACCAGTAATATATATTAGTAATATTTCTAAGTGTAAAAATCAAAGCCCCAAAACTTACGACAGTCGGTCTCATCCTCTCCATCACCGCAGTCATCTTGACCATTACAGCGGAGGTTGAGGGGAATACACTTCTGTTTCCTGGTGCACTTAAACTGGCCTGACAGACAGATGTATGTCTCTGAAAGAACACAAAAAAATGAACACATGAATTGTTACACAAAAAAAAAAAAATTCCAAATATCAGCACATCTGAATGAACGGACCTGAGTGATATAAACTGTACAACACAGGAAATCCCAGAAAATCTACTTTCATTCATTAGTAAGTGAAACTTTACTGTTGATAAAAACTCTACAACAAACATTTTTTTAACACTACATTTAAAAATCTTCTTAAAAAAATTCCTTGAACTCCATATTGGAGGGTTTTGGAGTCATTAAGTTTCAAGGTTTCTCCAAAGGTTTTGACAGTGTTGTTGAGCACTTGGCTGTTCTGATCTTCAACATGAGTCGGTTTTTTAACCTCAAAAATGAACAATTTTGAGATCACATTTTAACCAAACTGAATGAAAAAGAATTTAAAGTATTAAAGTTTCAATGTAGTGCCACTTAATGTTTTTTTTTGTTTTCTCAAAACTAGACTTTTTTTTTTACTGTCTTTGGACTTTTAGAGTAGACACCAAGAAAGAAGTAATTATCAACAGGATTTTAATTTAACAGGGAGAGTTTAAAACAGCAGTCAACGCTGACAAACAGAGAGAAAAATGAATAGTCTCCAGGGTCCTTACCACAGTTGGCCTCGTCTGAGTTGTCACCACAGTCGTTCTCTCCATCACAGATAAATGGAGGAAGAGCACAAAGACCAGTGCCACACTGGAAACGCCCAGGCTGGCACTTGAATTCAGCTGTTGGACAGGAAATAATGACAGTGGGAATGTTTTGATTTGCATTCAGAGGCTGAGAATACACACACACACATATATAATTATTAGGCCTGTCAAGAATAAGGCACCAGCTGAGATAAATAATTTGTGAAATTAATGATGTAAAAAATGTGTAACTCTATTTAACACATGCGCAGAATAACAGCAATCTGTCTGTCTTATGGTTACATTGTCCAGCCAAGGTAAAGAGCACTTGTTTCACCGAAGCATCTCAAGCTTGAAATACCACCAGTAACAATGTCTGACATGTTAAAAAAGGGCTTTTCTCAGAAAAAGACGTCACTCACGACAGTCGGCTGGTTCATCTGATCCGTCCCCACAGTCGTCCACGGTGTCACATTTCCACCAAAAGGGGATACACTCATCCGTCCCACAGCGAAACTTTTTTGGAAACAGTTATTTGTATATGAAGGACATTAAAATGCCAGAACATTCCACATGAAAAACACAGATGAGGATTAAAATAAAGCTCACCTGACTAGAGGTGCAGTTGGACAGACAGGTCTTATTGTCAGCAGCCAGGTAAAAATTAGTGGGACAGGCACATCTGTGACCTCCACCAGGAGACAGAAGACACAGGTGGCTGCATCCTCCATTAGCAATCTGACATTGGTGCTTGGGAACTGTATGGAAGGACAGAAGGAGAACACCGAAACGACTTTTTGTAATTACAAAAACCATTTACAACATTAAAGTACTTTATAATGGGAGCCCGTAACTGTAAATCTGCATGGGAGGTGGAAATGGCATCAGATAGACTTCATACCTTCAGGCTGGCGCAGGGAATGGTAGACCTTGATAGATTTAATAGCTTGCCAGGAATTGAGAAGCTCTATCCCCTGAGAACCAGTTGTCTTGTGAGCACGTCGAAGTGATTTTGACTTTCCATCGGTCCAATATACAAAATCCTCAAACACAGTCAGAGCCATTACTCCTTGAATGTGATCGTAGGTCACTGGAAACGGAGAAATAGTGATTATATTGTGTAATGTTAGGAGTTAGTTTCTATTACATTACAAAAACACCAGTAATGTTGCTAACACTCCAACCCAGTAGGTGGCAGTGATCCACAAACCACACTGCATTTCTTGTTTAGTAGAAACATTTTTCCAAAAAAAAAAAAACCAATTAGCTAATTGTGACCATTAGCATTTAACTGAATGAGGCTACTAGCACAGTCACCGGAGTTAACGTTAGCAGCAACAGTCCTGGTGAAGACCAATGGTGGAGCTAGCAAACAATAGATCAAATGTCAAAAGGCTTCAATCTCCCCTGTATCCTATCATTGAATGTCATTTTTATTTTGCGTCCTGAAGTCTAGTGAAGTCCATGACTCAAAACCAGATGTAGAGTTTTAGTTTGTTAGTATTTTCGGGGCATGACTCAAAACCAGATGTAGAGTTTTACGATAGAGTGAAGAAATAAACCCAACTGCAGCCCTCGGCTTTAACACAGGTGCTATTTTAGTCATTGCACACTTAAACTCACCTTTACGTCTCTGAGTTCCATCCATGTTGGCGAAGAGAATGTGATTGTCATCGGCCCAGTAGAGTCTTTTGTTGGTGTAATCGATGGTCAGAGCGGTGGGGTTGTGGATCTCTGTGTCGGTGATGACGGTTTGCCCCCGTCCATCCATGCCAATGCGTCCAATGTAGGGAGGTTCACAGCAGTCCACCCAGAATACATATCTGAAAACAAAGACACTGCAGTTCTCAGAGCGCGGTACTACAAATGACGTAAGAGATACAGTATGTATAAAAACATGCAGTAAAATACTCCATGAAAATAGAGGTTTCTTAGATTTTAGGGGGGAATATTTTTTATATTTAAAGTTGTTGTACTTTTCGTTATTGGGAAATTACTAAATTATTGTTGTACTTGTACTGTAAGTAATTAATAACATACCCTGTCTGAGGATCCAGAGCCAGATCTGAAGGATTCTTAAGGCCGGAACTGATCAGAACAGTCGGGTAGAGTCCGTTGGATTTGGAAACTTCCATTGTTTTCCTTTCCACATCACACCAGTACAGATTTTTTCCAATCCAATCCACAGCCAAAGCACTGGGCACTGCTGTCCTGTGGACAATCTAGTGAGGAGGAGGGAGAGAGAGACCATTTTCCACATCCTTGAAATGATTCACATTCTTTAACAGATGGACCAAAATATACCCTGAAAAATCTTTCACTTGTTTACGAGAGCCTCTACAGGAGGCAGATACTCATCTGTCAGACAAGAACATCTAATTTTAATACAGACTGAAAAATAGGGAGAAGTCTGAGTCACTCAGGACCTATTTTATTATAGCGTGAACATCAATCTAAAGAAACTATTGCGTTCACACGAAGCATCTCAATCAAACAAGTGCATTTCCTGTCTGGGGTTGAACAAATTTCTTACAGATCTGAACTTGTGTGATGGAAGAACAAAAAAGTCATGTACAGACAACTGCGCATGTGTACCTGCTGTACTCACTCTCTTTGGCATTTTTATACATGGATAGAAATATCAACAAATTCAACAAAAAAAAAAGTCTCTTATTGTACATGTGTCAAATGCAGACCACCAGGTCATTTTGTGTGGCCCAGAGCGTATACTTCAACTACAGAAATGCATTTCCTGACGAGAGCCCTCGGAGCAGAGATCTATGCGGTGTGTTCAAAGACAAGCAGCATCACCTCGTCAATTTCACCCAAAATCTGCCTCATATAGAACTGTGATATCGGTGCTTGTTTTTTATGTTTTTGTAATATATTTGAAAAGTTTAATTTGAATATGAGTTTCTTAACCTGATAAACGAAAAGTTGTTTTAATACACAGAGCAGCGTCCAATACTGGTAACTTTGATAAAAAAATTACACGTTTTCAAATCCTATTCGTTGTGAAATTGCCCAAACTTTACAAACACTCAATGGTTAATCTAACAGTTTTAAAATCGCAGCCGTTTGGTGCCAGTACTGATCTGTGTCTCAGACAATTTGTCCTATTGCTAAGAAGTGGCAGCAGTTCAAAAAAAAAAGAGACTTTGAGAGTAATTGAGCTGAATAAGCTTATTGCCCTCATACACCACTGCTAATGAGTTGGGGAATATCGACCCACCAGGGGCTGCTGAAGCCCCAGTGTCCCCAGTGCCTGGCTCTGGTACAATTGGTGCTTTTCAAAGTCAGAAGAGGATTCTCAAACAGGTACATTTCACCGTTGTTAGGAAGCGTTGAATGTTAGAGAGGCCTTTGTGTCAATTGAGAACAACAAGTTCTCAATTATGTGATGACACACACTGGCAAGCTGGTTCCACTGACACACTCCTGGAGAGTGGACTGTCTGGTTCCTGTTACTGTTGGAGGAAAACAACGACCCACACAAATCCAACTGTTTCTAATTTAATAATAAATAATAGGAATCTGTGTGTTCAAAAGTATGAAAAAAGCATTTACTTCAGCAACAAAAGAAACGTTAACTATTATCTCACCTTGAGGTCACTCCCATTGAGACGCATTCTGTTTATTTTTCGACCACTTGGTCTCGTTGAGTCCACCCAATAAATAAATTCCTTCTTGTAGTCAAAATCAATGTGGATTATGTTGTTAAGGCCCTGGAGAAAGAGAAGTGGTTAGAAAACATTCCCCACATTCTTTCAATCGTTTTCATAATAAATGTATTTTTTTTAAAAGTTACTTTTTTTTATTTAAAAACATATTTCTGTTGATTTAGTAATAACATTACCAACACTAATTTTAAAATAATAATAATAATTCATAATTAATGAATGTATTAGCAACAATAACATAAAAACATATTTCTGTTGATTTAGTAATAACATTACCAACACTCATTTTAAAATAATAATATTAATGAATGTATTAGCAACAATAACAATACCATTAATGCCTTTTCAAGTGCATCAGATACATTTTTAAAGTAAATTAAATAAGCATAAAATAAATTAAATCTGACACTTACTATTAAAAATAATAATCAAACATTCAAAATCAGTTTTCCCACAATAACAGCAGCTTTTCACAGAGCGTCCACTCCACTCTTGGTATATAAAGCACCCGACGAGCTGGTAGAAAGTGAGTCCATATGGTATCAAAGCTGAAGAGTCAGACACTTTGTTTCTGTGTCATGCTCACAGGACCTCAACGTCAGTCAGATAAAGCTGTTCACAAAACAAGTGCCATCGCCCCGCTGTCTGTCACCGGGCGTTGATAAAGGCTGTCAGATAATCTGACAGACAAAATGAGACATCTTCAACGTATCATCAACACCCTCACACAGGGGCGCCAAAGTCTCCTAGGGGACCTGAACGCCTCTTTAACCGGAGACGCAGGACACAGTGGAGAACAGACTGTCTGGTTTTCTTAAATCAACCAGGAAACCAACAAAGACGTCTTAAATGACAAACTTTGTTTTTTAATAAAGAAACATTAAATAACAACATCATTTTGTCATCAGACCTCTGTAATTTGTAGTGGGACACGATAAAAACGGAACAAATGTAATAAAATTTAACAAATTTACAATTACTGTAAATCTGTTAACTTTTTAATTTTCAACTGTTTGTGTTTGTTAGTGTGACTTGAATTTAATTAATTTAATTTAATGAGACTTCCCAAGGGATTAATGACATTTTATGTGATCTAATCTAATCTGATTTAATTTAATCTAATCCCATCTCATTTCAACTCTGACCTTTTCACCTCATCTCCTCTAACATAATGTGAATTTAATATAAATTAACTCGTAACAGCCTTATTATTAATACATTGGTTGGAAAAGTGTCCAATCACGATCCTAAGAGCCAGAAAATGGAAAGGATTATTCTCTCAATAACGGCAAATTAAAATATTCCACTGTAGGAGAACAAAGTAGGGTCATTTCAACTGACATATAATGAGTTTAAACAGTGTTGTTATAAAACCAGTCAACTGTGTTTATAGTGGGAGGACAATAATATGCTTTCAGTGGAAAAAAAAAGGAAAAATGATTGTTTCTTTTTAAATTTGCATAGTGTCATGACAATATAATTTAAAGCAGGCAGGTAATGGGATGGTGGGGTGATCTGAGGCCAGTCGCTGCTAAAATGCAATAAGTAAAGTGGGTTGAGGCTATAGAACTCAGATACAGGGTGTGAAAGGTTAATATGACTATACCGACGTGTAGAGTCGCAGTAAATCACAGCCAACTAGTAGTCACATTCCAGCATCGCCCAGAGCAGCCGCGGTGGGTCCCATGAATGATTATAATAGCTTTTCTCCAGGGTCCTCAACATGGTGATTCCATTCTGTGTAAGTCAGTATGGCTGTTTTACTCTGCCCAGGGGGCGGGAGGATGGAAAATTATGATGGACATTTGCCGTCTCATTGGTACTGAACGACTCCTCGTTGAGGCTTGGCCACAATATTCAGGTTAAGTAGCAAGTATCTGAGGAGACCGCTCACATTCTAACAGGTTTGGTCGGCTCTGCGTAGAATGTTACACATTGGTCTGGTGTGTACAATGCAGCTGTTAGCAAACAACAGGGGGCAGACCTAGAGGCCGCTTTCTTCACTCTTCCTTCATATTCACCTGCATGTTTCCTTCAACAACAGTTGAAACAGAACCCTGGGGTATATTTACTTCTTTGTCATGGCTACTGCTTGTACTATATTATATTTAAACTCACAGTCACAGCCTGTTACTCAGAGTTAATTGAGTAATATTACGACTGCACTACTGTTTGCACTCTACATGTAGCCCAGTGATTGGTACATGTTGTATCTATACTCTTAATTTAATGCAGTCATGGTCAGTCACAGTTGTACAAGCCTGAGAATGGAGCTACCTTGTACAGAACATGCTTGTACTTTTACTGGAATCTGAAAATTATAAATAAAAAGTTACAGTGTGTCAAGTCGACCTACCTGCTTCAGGATGGTGTAGTTCGAGCCATCTACACTCAGTTTGCGTATCTCATGGTGGTCTGCCATGATGAGAAAAGGCTCTTCAGCTGAAATGAGGACATAAGATGTAGCATGAGAGCAGGTGTGACACTCGCGGTCGGCCATTAAAATGCTGAGTGCCGCTGCACCGGTGGAAACAGACTGACCTGAAAGGGCTTTGCATGTATTGGGATTGCGCTCCAAGGCTTCATAGCCATCCACACACAGGCACTTGAATGAGCCGTACGTGTTGATGCAGCGCTGGCTACAGGGAAAAGTAGTGGAGCATTCATCAATGTCAACACAGGTCTTCCCATCATCCTTCAGGTGGAATCCAGGCCAGCATTTGCACTGGGCACAAACAAAGGACAAATAAGAAAATAAACAAATACGGTTTGGGTAGAAAAGTGAACGTTCTGGGAATATAAAAATATATAAATATATATATCCTCTGTTTTCCATTACTTTAAAACACACACAAACATACCTTTTTTGCCATTACTTTAAAACACACACAAACATATATTTAAAAAAATAGACATACATCTGGATTCAGGGTCCCGTGCAGGTATATCAGACCATATAGGAATATCTTTACATATCAATTCACATCTAAACTCTTCTTCAGTGGTGTTTGCATCAGACATGTAATGTGGATGAAGCCTCATCTAATAACTCAAATTCCATCCCTGGCCCTGTTTGACTCTGGTGATGCCTTTTACAGATGCCCATGTAAGGGCTCACTCCAAAGGCCAGATGATCTTTTTCCACTCTGCCGACTGGTGTGTAACAAACACTCACTTCAGAACTCAACACTGCACTCTATATTCCTCTCCTAATTGAACGACCCAACACACACACACGCTGTAAAAATCACCGGTTCATGTTGAAGTGAAAACCCCTCTTTGATGTGCCCCCCTCCCTCGGCCCCCGGCCCCTAACCTGCATCAGTTCTCACACCTCCCTTCCTCTGCCCACAACACCAGCTCTACAAACCTGGTTCTGTTGACAGTCACTGAAACACATTGTGCATTAGGCTTGTTGTCTTCTCAGTCTGCAGCAGCCAGAGACTGGAATCAATTACAAATATTTATAAAGCTGGACACTTTCATCTTCACAGGGGGCTTTTAAAGCTTTTATCACGGATCTCTCACAGAGACAAATGTTGCTGTCACTCTCTCAGACCCAGAACTCAGTTTCTGTGGATGTTTCTGTCCTGCCTGGACAGTATATAACTATATAAACATAAACTATATGTGGAGGTGTATATTTTGTATTGGCGTTTTATAATGAAATAAAATCTGAAAAAGAAATATAAAAGGCCAAAATATCAAATAACACACACGGTCAACCGTCATGTACTGTTAGCTGCATCGTGGACCAGATGATGGTCTGTTTTTATGTGGGAGGTGGCAGCAGGACTGGGGCGCTGTACATGATTCTGACAGCAGATGGGAAGAAACTGTTCATGTGGTGTGAGGTTTTAGTCTGGATAGACCAGACTAAAACCTGACCGGGTGGTGAAGACAGGCGTGGGTGGAGTCAGACTTTTTTTTTTCTGGATTCAGGGTCCCGGGGTTGTACATCTTAAAACTGTATCTCAACAAGATATAAATGTAAAACATGTCAAAGCTGTGGGAGCTGCTGGAGAGATGTGTCTTGGCTATTTGAAACTTTTACATCTGTCTTAGAACTATTTGACTCTCCCATGTCTAGTGCAGCTATTTTTTGGGATTTTTTTTTAATAAGGAGCACCCGAGGCCTTTAGCTTCCAGACACCATTGCAAGAAAGAAGGGATCAGAAAAAATCCAGGGATAAAGGTGTAAATAGCCAGAGTCTAAAAAGGGAACGGCCTCCTCAACACTCCAGCAGATGTGGCCCTGACCTGGATTCAACCCTAATATCATTTTCCACCAATGCGCAGGCATTTTTGGTAACATATAATTTATTCCAACCATGCTGTGGAGAATATTATTTAAAATCTGTAAGACTAAATATATGAAGCCCTCACCTATCTTTATCTCTGTAATGATGCAGTGTGAGGTTCATTCATTATTAGTTGTACATTGTTAATGGCCACACCATCACTAATAAAGGCTCCACATATTATCTGCCACTAGATTGGAAATAATGTTCACGCTCAGACTCAGTGGTCAGAGAGGAATTCTAATTAACATTTCAATCTGTAGTCATAAACACCAATCAGCCACATCATTTACAAAAAGGTAACAATTTATTGTTGACACACACACACACACTTGCACACGTGTTTTGTGAGCACTTTATATACACTCAAGATATTCCCTACTACAAACTAAACTAATTTGGATTTAGATTCACAACAACTAAATAATGAACCTTAAATACAAAAACAACCCTTACTGTCCAAACAAAGACAAAGTGTCCCTGACGCCAGGTTTTTTCACTGTCCAAACAAAGTGTCCCTGACGCCAGGTTTTTTCCACACAAGTATAACTATACTAAGTTTACTATCTCTCTCACACACACATATATTGTTTTTCTTCTGTGTTTAGAGATAACTTCCCTTATTATTAATACACACACCTATCAATTTAACCTTATTAACTCCAAATATATTCCTAATCTTTATCTTCAAACCTCAAATAGTGGGGACATTAGTAGCCCCCCAACACAACCAATCAGTACCAAATCTATGTATAAAACTAACCCTAATCCTAATTCTGGATTACAATTTAAATTATAATCTCAAATAGTGAAGACCTGCAAAATGTCCCCACAAGTGTGGCTACACCAGGATCACACACACACACACACACACCATCACTCATATTGAACAGCACAATGCAGTCAGACCAGTTGATGTGGGACCCATCAGTCAGGAGAACTACTGTGAATGGATCAGCATACAGAAGCCACTGTGTCTTATCTGCTGTTCTAAATGTTTCTGTCTGAATGCTTATCTTCCATCTGTGCTTTACAGGTTTGACCTTCAGATGGATGAGCAAAGTCTTCATGAAACAACTTTGTTTAGGCAGCAGTTTTAAGAAAGACTCATGCACTGGTTTCCTACCTTGTATCCCACAGTCAGGTCTTGGCAGTCCTGCGTGCACCCGCTGACCCTGCGGTTAAGGCATTCATTCATGTTGCAGTTCTTTTCATCCGACTGGTCTCCACAGTCGTCCTTCCCGTCGCAGATATTCCCCTCAGAAATGCAGCGTCCGTTGGAGCACATAAAGAAGGAGCCATTGCACAAGCTTCCTGAAAAGGGCAAGATGCTTTTATTGGCACAATTCCTCAAACGGGTTAGGGAACATTTTTGAGTGGAACTTGACAGATTCATCGTCCTGAGTTGAGGTCTCCTTGTTGCAACACCTTTTGTTTCCGCCATATGTCCCTTTCACTATCCTGAGGAAGCGGTGCTGACGGTGACACTGATGAACAGTTTCCAGCTGTGAGCCAAAAAAAGTATTCTTACCTGCCGCCAGACATTTGAGGTTTAGAGGTAGTTCGTCAGAGTAGTCGGGACAGTCTGCGTGACCGTCACACTCCCACTGAGAGCTGAGAAGACAGCGACCATCCCTGCAGCGGAATTCTTCAGATCCACAGGAGCGATAGACTAAAGAAAGAAAAAAATCACATCACTCTCAGCTTTGTGGCAACACTTCAGGATTAAGAACTAGTACTGCAAAAGTTGCACACGTGGTATTTATACTGGGGAAGACAATAACAGCTGGGGAATCAAGACGTTATCAATGTTGAAGAACTAGTGTATGGATGGCACTACACAGAGAAAGACTAAACTTCTACTCTCTTGACATTTACTTTAAATGTGAACTGAACCCAATGTTTTAGTAGGCGATAACTCTGAGAGTCTTTCTGGAGAATATTCTGGACCATAGTTGTATGGCAGACATTTACATTAAGCACATATATTCTATACTCCTAATACATGATCGTGCTTATAGGAGTATCAAGTACTTATCTGAAGGTCTATATATATATATATATATATATACTCTGTATGTAGCCAACAACACAACATCCTTGGCCTTTAAACAGCACCTTACTGCACTTATTTGTATTTAAAGAAAGTTCTCAGTTCTCTAAATTCTTGATGAGAGAATTGTTATGTTAACAACACAGGTCGTTCACACTTTGATCCAGTTTAAGGCGGTTAGTTTAACCCCAGTTGAGGCGGGAATAAAATTGGTTTGTTAAACAAAGCTGAGTGTGTGCCTCTCACAGTCTGTGCTTTAGTGTGTGTTAAGTTTCTGTGAACAGAACTCAAGGCAACATTGATAGCACTTAAATGATGTTTCCTCAAGCCACCGCCTCTGTTAAAGAATGTTTCTCTAGGTCGCCATCGATGGATTCTTTCCCTCCTCTCACAACCCATCTGTCTTTTCTGGTTAGAACGAGTAAATTCCTGTCTTCAAAAGAGTGTCCTTCCTCTTTATAAAGAGATACCTAAAGAATGGCCTCTGGAGCAAACATTCCTGTAATTGAATCCACCTCTGTATTGGTTGTTTGTATCTTAAATGTACAGGTCTAGAGCAATTGCAGGGAGGACGACAAACACAAATCAATGTTGGAAACTTAAAAAAAAAACTAGGAGTGAGAATCTAAAAGACTGAAGTTTGAGGTTTTCTGTCAGGAAAATTATTGAATATTTTTAAGAAATGTTTTTATGAAGACAGTTAAAGCTGTTTGTAACTTCAACATTTTCTTCATTTGCCCCAGAGCGGCGGGAGTTGTGGTGGTTTGTAATGGAATATCATGTTTTGTTTTGTAAGAATGACTGTTTTGTAGGAATTACAGGGTGTATATCAACGTTCAGCACAGTTTCAAAAAGAAAAAGTGTGAATGTGTCAAAGGGGGTAGAGGAAGTGGGGGTTTGGTGTTATGGACAATCATCCTGTCTGTCCCCAAAGGGGGGGCCTGTACAGAGAAAGATGGAAACCACTAGAGTAGAAAATGGACTGGTATGTAATAAGATTTAATTTTTAGATGTTATCTAAAAAAAGCAAATTTATTCTAAGTAAATTTCAACCCTAACCCGGTGTAATCCTTGAATAATAGCATTCAAGTCCAAGTGCAGATGGCCACAATATTTGCGTGACCTGTTAAGTTTCCCACAGGGCCAGGTTTGTCCTTGAGGACAGGGATGTGTGGATAATGACTTTAATGAATGGCTGTTGTATAGAACTGTCCTGTGACGCAGGAAGTGAAGTTTGTGAAATGTCTTTGTAGTAAACATGGTTTTAAAATGATTACAGTTGTTATTATGTAATTATGTCTCCAAAACATTGCATTTTAAAGCCAATCTGAAAACCTCCCACAGAATACTACTGTTCAGTCTTTGAGAATTTCTTTGGTGAACTAAGACAGAGCACAGTGAATATTTAACATTATGAAAAAACACTCAGCGACACCACAAGTCATTAAAGGACAGATATATTTTCCTGAGGCTGCAGTGAATTATTATTGTTATGCTACTCTTTAAGCAGGAGGCCAAATTCCAGACACATTTGTTTTCATTTCAGGGCGGAGGACAGATGACGGCTCGTAATTGCTGCATTTAGTAACATTTTCATTAGGTTTGGGGCATACAGCAAAGAAGGCCACGTTCAGGTCATTAGAGAAGGCAGCGACATTAATGAATTAATGATTCATGGCCAGAAGGCTGTGTCTCAGCTGCTACTGGAATTTGTCTTTCACATTTTGGTAGAAGTGAACCATTAGGCCACAATTCAGTGACGCCAGGGAATATTAGAAAAAAAGGGAGTGAGATAAATCTACTTGCCACATTCTACTGACTCATCAGATCCGTCTCCACAGTCGTCATCATGGTCGCAGACAAATCTCCTGGGGATGCACGCCTTGTTGTGGCAGCGAAATGAGCTGTCATCACATGTGTTGTTTGGTGCTAATATACAAAAAAAAAAAGACTCAAATTAAATTAAGGGATAAACACTTTTTTCCCAAGTGCAATGTGTATGTCAGTCAACAAACTGCAGTCAACAAACAGCAAAAAACATAACATTTTACCAATACTTGTGCAACTAAGTAATAATACTTACATTATGTATATTTTCATTTGTATTATTTACAAACCGTATTTCTGTAAAAGATTCTAGAGGTTTTAAATTAAAATTTAAACAATGTTAATTCTGTACCTTTGGTGTTGCCGTAGCTGGTTCAGTCAGCTATCAATTACACTTCCTTTTGTTTTTAGTGTTTACTATATTATCAGAAAACATTTAACTGAGTATTTTTTTAATATTGTGATGCTGTAATACTTCATGTAAAATATGTTTCGCTCTTTAACAGAAATTGCATCTGAAAATACATCGCTAATCCGTACTAACCGCTAGCATAGCGTTGTAATTTTCCATATGCGTTAGCTTTAAGCTAGCGGACGCGTTTCTATCAGTTTAAATGTGACACTTCTGTGTTCGTATGTGATTATATTTAGTTGAAAAATTTACGACGACATAAATAAAACGTATGTATATCTGTCGGTTTAGTTTTATAGTGATTCCTACGTAAAGTTTGAAAAGAAACATTAACCTCTTGAGAAACTGTTCGCGAGCTAGTGTAGCAGGCTAGAGGACGCCGCAGACACACACACAAGCAGGAAGCTAATGCTGCTGATGCTGTTTAAAAACGTTGAGCCAGGGCTCCAGGGGGCGCAAAAGGAAATTCAGCTCAGTGAAACACATAATTGTCCTTTTTATATATAACTGTGCTTCAAATAAACACAACATCTCTGTATACCTTATTCTTGTTATTAAATCTTTGACATTATATGAAAGTTATGGAAAGTGATAAAATTGGTGACATCAATACGTCTCACACTCTAGTTTTATGCTCCCAGCATATTGGCAAAATGGTGCCCGGTGTAGTACTGTAGTAAAAGTTCCAGGGAGTTTTTGGGAACGACATCATGGTGATTGGATCATTTGTCACAAAAGTGGTCCAAGTTCACACTCATTAGTGAAATTTCACGCAAACACTGTGTTGTATTCCGGAATTACACAAGAACATTACCGTGTGCAAATTTCTACGGTAATTTATTCTGTGACAACATAGTCATTTTCATAATTGCAATGAGCTTGTCAGTGTGTTGAACAAGAAGACAGGGTTTTACCACAGCCAGCTGCAGAGAGTTCATCGCTCCCATCAGGGCAGTCTCTTTCGCCATCACACAGCCAGCGTTTTGGAACACAGGCATATGACCCGGGGCAACTGAACAGCCCTGGAGCACATGTCACTGAGCCTGAGAGAAAAACAGGACCACATGCTCCACTTTTAAAAGCCAAAGAAATCAATGATTTGAATGTGGCAAAGTTAAAAAATAGCTGCAGAGGAAAGATAGTAGATTGTATCACTAGGTAGTTTTTACTAAACCTACTTAATCTACCGTGTGTTTCTATTGAGCCTCGGTCTGCAGGCCCTACACAGCAGTTAAACATTATGGCCATGCATGTGTAATAATAACTCACTAGAATTTTCCAAGACAGCAATTCTATATATTTTCTTAAGAACAAATAGAGAGAAAAAAAACCTGCAACACTCTGGGAAACACAGGTGGAGGTTTGGTGAGGCACTTCTAACTCACAAGGATATCTTGTTTTTGACTAAAATGTGCCTTGGAAACCCATTTCATTAATATTTCCTTGACACTCCATTACAATCCAATTACATAAACAGTGTTCACAGCATTTCTTGTTTCTTTATTGTGGTTGGATCCCTTTGTTTTATTGTAGTATTTATTAACACATACACAAACACACTCCCAGTCACACACACACACACACACACACAGATCTCATTTGCCAATTGAAATAGCTGTGCCTCTTGGGTCTCAATGATGAAAAATCTATCTGCCTCAGTGCCCACTCTAGTCATCAGGAATTCCTGCACTCTCCTTTGTTGTCTCATTAAGGCTGTTTCATCCCTTTTCATTAATTTCCCAGCTCTGCTAGAAGAACACATGGAGCTGTCATACATAATATCATGGACCTGACCTTTTATACAAACAGTGGACTCCTCGTGGCATCTGAAAGGGCACTCACCGCAGATCTGCACGCTCTCGTCCAGACCGTCTTCGCAGTCATTCTCTCCGTCGCACAGCCATTGTTTGGCAATGCACTTGTTCTTTGAGCAGGCGAACTGATTCCACAAGCAAGATGAGTCTGCAGTGGGAGATGTAATTCAAGGCCCATTAATCAAACAGTGAAGGAATTCTCAGAATTAAAAATGCCTCATAAATTGTCTCAACAGCCCCATTTTCTCAGTTGATTTTTTTTTTTTGCTTAGCAGCTGTGCAACCTAGCTCTCTCAATCAAACTATTTTCATTTTTCTTTTAATTTTTTCCAAAAGAAACTGTAATTCAGGGCTACTCAAAGCTACATTTTAAATAACCATAATACTGTCACCTTCTGAACAAAACGTCCTTTTTATTCAAAACAACAACAAAAATAAATACTCAAATAAAAAAAGCCATTTCCATTTTGTTATAAATTGAAATAAATACTGAAATAAACAAAGCAAAAAAACTTTAAATTCAAAGATCTCAGAAATTGAGAAAATAACATGCACTTTTAAAATATGGAGAAGCGTACTGCTTCAAAAGTGTAAGTCAGAGTGCTGTTCTTGATAAGAACCTACTGGCACACGTTGGCATGGAGATGACAGCCCATTTACATGTGTGGACTGGGGGGAAAAAACAGCAAAAAAGGAAAACATATTTCTTTCACATGTTCAGCTCAATGTCCACAAATAGATGTCTCTTGGTCCACATCTGGTCCTCAGGCCACCATTTGACAGCCTCTGGTCTGAATCAATGACCCCAAATATTAAGCCATTGATTCATTCATCTTCAAGTGTTTAATCATTTTCTGGGGGGGCGAGGGGGGTGGGGGGTGTATAGTGATTCCTAACAGTTACCGGGTCATTTAGCAGCCGTCACAGGATGAACACAAAGAAAAGAAGAATCACTTTCTGACTCTGACGTCTTTAAGGCTCTTTGCAGCAAGAGAGCGATTTCTCTAGGGCTCTTTGCAGCAAGAGAGCGATTTCTCAGATGTTTTTTTTTCTATTTGTTGACGAGGTGTGATCAAACCTGCATCCACTGCACGGCAGCTACTGTAAGAGTCATGCTGCTGTGTCACTCTAGTCCCCAAAACCACAAATAGAGAGTCAACTGTTCATAATCACGCAGATACCGACTGCAGGGACGAATCAGAACCAACACACACACCAGGAGAAACAAACTCTACACATACAGATTAGGAATCAAACCAGCAAACCAATGATCTCTTGGACTAACTACTCTTCTCACCGTATGGCCCTGCAAATATTAATTTTTCACATTTAAATTTGGGTTAAGGTGTGATAAGAAACTGCTGGCTGAAAACCCAAAGAGCACTGCTGATCATTATTAAACTTTGGTATAAAATATGGAGAAGAAAAAAAAATTATAATCTGCAGTGAGTTTGCACCACTGAGCCTCCCACTCTCCTTTAAGAGTTCTTTCTGTTAGATGTCAGGGCTGGTAAAGTCTGCCAAGGCTTTGATGAAATGTTGAGAGGAAGGAGGAAGGACGTGTGCTTCAGGTCAGACCACAGAGCAAGAAATTATGGATCCCACCGTGGGTGGAGGCAGGGTTTGGTGTGGAGCGTCTCGCAGCTTATTGTCACACAGGCTGCACTACATCACAGCAGAAATGACATCCCTAAAGGATGAAACTTTAAAAAATCTGCCACATTGAGGAAACAATTACAATCTTTTGAAGGTGATTCCAGATTTTCACCTGACAACGAGATGCTGCGACAAAAAGCAGGTCGACCACACAATAAATGTATCTGTGAGAGCAGAGAAAGGCTCTCATTTTCAATAGTGATTCACATTGTGGAGTGGCAAATGGTTTTTTTTGTCTAATCAGTTGTGGAATGGGAGTTTTCTGAAATGTAATGACATTTCCCTCCAACGGCTCTGCAGTCAGATTATCAGCTGCTGGAGCTTTTATATGATAATTAACTCTGAGGAAACTGCTCTATTTGTCCTAAAAAAAAAAAACCTACCCAGAAAGCACTGTGGCATAATTTGTTTCAGTTCTCATGTATGAAGCGTGATATAATTCCACCCAGGCTGGAATGACATTTAAAATAAAGGGATCGATTTGCCCTTCATGTGCATCATTCATGACAGTCCCATCATAGCACAGGAACAAGTGTGTGTTCTTCAAAGGCAAACATCTGTGTGACTGTTCACTCAACCTGGAGGGACAATGGAAGAAAGATACACAGATACACATATGTAGTGGTTCTGAACCTGTGGTGCGTGTGCCCTTGGTGGTACTTCCTCTCAACTCAGCTCTAAACTGTATCCAATCACCAGCTTGAACCACGTCGGTTTATTCAGATCAAATGTTTCAGACATAAACTACATGACACGTGAAAAATGTGAATGTCGTTGTTTTCTTTCTGTGCATTACACATCACAAAGTCAATGGGCAGAATGGGTCAACAGGCGGCCAACATTAAAAACAGATGGCAGCCAATCAGCCGCTCTCTCTGAGCTGCTCTGTCAGGTCTAAGTATCCAACGCCTGTTTCCATGTAACGAGAACGACATTTACCAAAGGCACCAAGTTAACATCCAGTAGAGACTGAATGACACAGCTCTGTCATGTGGATGTGGATGTGTGTGAGACAGCGCATGATCAAGAGGGTCAATGATATAAAAGAGAAATATATTCTGTTATTCTGCTAAACAGTTGTCATTAACCTGTGGTTTGAATAGATCTGACTGTAATCAGAGAACGTTGGTTGAAACTGCAGCACTGACAGGTCTGTGGTTGTTCACCAAGGAGCCATTTTGTTTTAATTGCCTACTTACCACACTGGAACTCATCTGCACCGTCCTCACAGTCCTTCTGGCCGTCACACAGCCACACGCTGGAGATGCAGTTCCCACTGGGACAGGCGAAGTGGCCTTCCTCACACTGCTGTCCATGAGAAACTAAACAACAACAAAGTCCAGGGGCTTTTAGTGACGACTCAGGTCTCCACTCTATGTTACCATAACATGTGGTTGGTATAATTTGTGCGTTTGCAGGTTCTCACCCTGGCAGTTGGTCTCATCAACGTAGTCACCGCAGTCGTTTGAACCGTCGCAGATCCATGACGGGTGGATGCACAGTGAGGTGCTGTTGCAGCTGATGAATTTTTTTTCCTTGACCCCCAGCTTATAAAAGTGAGAGCAGTCGGTGTGGTCTGAATACAAAGCACAGGAGCACAATTATTGTCTTGTCACAATGGCCACAATCATGAAAGTACAGCAGAGGGAGGAGGTGGTAGGGCAGAATCCACAGCAACCACGGCATGTCCATTTATGAATTGCGCTGTTGTTCACGTTTGTTAGAACTCACTGCAGTTCTTTTCATCCGAGGCATCAGCGCAGTCGATGACCTGGTTACACCAGGCTGAGCGGGCTACACAGCTGCCGTCTTTACACGACCACTCTGACGAGCCACAAGTGACATCTTGGGGAGAGAATTAGCATTTCAAAAAGAGCAGAGCATTTAAAACACACACACACACACACACAGAGAGAGAGCACAGTTTACAGGTACTGCACATATTATTAGTCAGGACTTCAGTGAAAATGAACTTCAGGAGGCAAACTGCCAGAGAGAAGGTTACAGGAGCTGCAGTATCTGTGCAGTTGGAATGACTGTGGTGTAAAAACTGCTGGACTGTCTCGACCCTCTCGACGCTGTGCAAGAGCAATTCACGCTTAATATGCAGGAGGGGCTTCTTGGTTTAGTTGTTCATCCGAGGTCTTGAGCACAGTGGCTCTGGTCATTTCACCTCTCAGTGTTTTATCTTCAGCATATAACATAATGCTATCATTAAACGTGACAGGGTTAAGGGTAAAAGAAGAAAGTCACTGTTGGTGTCCCATTAAAAACAAAACTCCGGGCTGAAGACGACACACCATAATGAAGTGAAGACCTGCCTGGGTTGGTGATGGAGTTTTGTCTCCTTGTGTGGTGGATATTCTACAGCTGGGACTATTACGGAATATTCTGAATAAATTAGTGATGGGTGAAAAAAAAAAAACAAGTTCCCTAATTTTGGTTACACGTCAGCCCATTGGGTGGCAGTAGCGTACATAAAACCCATTTTTAGCCATGAGGTAGATTCTCAGGATTGATTGAAAGACAAGTCAAAATGCTCGGCTTGTTGTGAAACAACAGACCAGATGACAGGGTTCAGACTCAAAAAAGTCTCATATCTGTAATGTAGTGTCTTTGAATTCAGTGTTTGTTCACCTGAAACATGTTCAGATAAAACATAAATAAAAATATAAATTATTAAAAAAAAACATTTTTGATGTGTACGTTCACCTGTATGTCTAAATCATTGATTTGGTAATTAAATAAAAAATATTGTCAAATATTGTTAGATAACGTGTTTAATTATTTAAAAAGCTATTACTATCACCAGTTTCAAGGAGCAAACACACGCTTCTCATTTGTTTTTCTCACCGTCAAGGTTGGAGCAAAATCGATAATTTTCAGGCTCTACAGAAAAATAAACCCGTAAACTTTGTTGAGCAAAGGTTGAGAGTTTCTTTGAATTGGTCTGGTTTGGGTTTGATGATCTGGGGCTCATTAGACGGTGAGGGCTGAGCACAGCATGTGGCCTCCTGCGGTTGATTAGTCTAAGCATTAGTGTGGTGGGATTCTGCCCCCGGAGGTAGGGCAGATTGAACAGGAGATCAAACGGATGTGACTCACTAGCACAGAAAGCTTCATCTGAGTTATCCCCACAGTCATCGATCTTGTCACAGAAGCGACTGTTGGCCACACACCGCTGGTTGTAGCAGGGCCTAAAGCCCTTCCGACAGCTCCTGTTGTCTGAAGGGTTGGAATCACATGAATATATTTGAAGAGCAGAGACGTCAACGACAGGAAGCAATCAATATGAACATGTTCGGTTTCACACTCTGCAATTGTACTTCTACACAGAGCACTGCTGTGTCTGTGTGTCTGTGTGTGTGTGTGTGTGTGTGTGTGTGTGTGTGTGTTTTTATTCACCACAGTACTGCATCTTCTCATCTGATTTATCTTTGCAGTGGGCTATTCCATCACAGGTTAGCTGGTAGTCTATGCACTCTCCGTTCCCGCATTCAAATTCAGTGTGGATGTTGCAGGATGAATTTTCTGCTACAGAAGAAGACAGAGATGGAGAGCGATGATGACGATGAAGACCCCGCGACTGTCGCCCAAACCTTCAACCTTCGTACTTTCATTTGATAACTATAGCACTGCGATAACCACCATATGAAACATTTGATATCATAAACTTTATGGGGATTTTGTTGACATTAAGAATAAGATGAAAAAAAAAACGTATTTGTACTGAAATGGGAACCTGAACAAGTCAGACGAGCAAAGAAGGTTCGTGAGTGGAAAATAGATATTGATATATATACTGTATAAATAGATACACACACATATTTAAATATATTTTAATATATATAATTGTATATAAAAATATATTTAAATATATTTATACATATGTTTTCCACTCCCGTAGCTGACAGGCTGGAAAATACTCTCCTGTCAATGAAGAGTTGTTAGTGAGTTCTGACGTGAGGAGAATATTAATATTTCAGCAGTTAAAACATCCAGCCCCCCACTCCCAGCACCGACTCCCGCTGCTTTAATTTGAAAAGTTGAACTACTTCCTGAACTGGTGACGAGCAGCTTCATGACATGCAGCCTGTTTTGCACAGTGTGACTCTGAGACCACCGTCCAGCTCGTCCTGGTTTCCTGTCGAGCTCAGTTTTGGCGCTGATTTCAGCCGCTGCCTTCGTCTCGTGTTCTGTGTCCCTACACTGTGTATTAGATTCAAACAGCAGCGTGTCACACGGAGAAGGATTTCCATTTGTGACTCCAGACAAGTAATTGTGACAAACGGCCTTCTGCTCAACTGTGTTTTTCTTCCCTCAGCCTAAAGTTAAAGTAGCACAGCATTATGGCTGCGTTTTTCCTCGGCGTATCGACTGTGACTCCTGAAATCATTAGCGATTCACTGCTTAGTCAGAGGAGAGGCAGCAGCTGCTCAATGTTTTCCTGTTTGCGTGCGCTTATGTACAAAGGGATAAATTCAGAGACGGCAAACAGCAGCGATACTATCTTCCTTTGAGTATGTACAGGAGTCACGCTGCAGCGTGCATATCAATGTGGCCAATGACTTTCAAAATAACAAGTGCATAAAACGGGCCATTAAAATCAATACCTGGTAGTGGGAAGGCTCCACGGGTTGGAAGTTTTGACCTCAGTAAAATGAAATGTGATGCTGCTCATGACTTACACACACATCTGTTGTTGTCTAACAGCACACGTTCGCCGCGGCAAGTGCAGTTGACCCTGCCGTGTGGGGTCAGAAGACAAAGGTCACCGCAGCCTCCGTTCACGTGTCGACACGGGGACAGGTCGCCTTCAATCACAAACAAAGACAAAGAGTCCATTTTCACACTGTTTTCCTGCTGTTATCCTTACAGGAAACTGTCACACATTCACAGAGAAGACGAAGCGGGTTTTAAAAAAATGAATTCACAAATACAAAAAAAAAAAAACATGATGAAAAAATAAATGTCCTAAAACATGCAGCTCCAGCAGCTACATATCTGTCATGGTCGGGGTTAGAAGCCCGGCCCGTGGTTCCCAACCTTTATTGGCTTGTGACCCCATTTTGACATCACAAATCTCTGGTGACCCCAGAGGTCACTGGAGACTTTTTTTTTTTTTTAAGTCATTGATCGCTGTCAATCAAGAAGCTCCAGCTCAGATATTTCTATTTGCTGCATTTTATCTGAACTCGATTTATATTTCGTTGTTTAAGATTGTGTCAGGTGTTTTTTAATTATTATTTTTTAAAAAAATTAGTTGAAAAAATATTTTTATCTAATTATTATTTTAAAAATAATTTAGTTGAAAAAATATTTTTATCAGTATTTTTTTAATTCAATTACTGGGTATTTCCGGCCTCATTTGAATTAAAAGCGAGTTCACGTGGGTTGGGGATCCCAAGGTTGTAAAACACTGGGCTAAGGAGTGCATTATGACCATGTGTGTGTGTGTGTGTGTGTGTGTGTGTGGGTGTGTGTGTGATTTAAATTCAAGTACCAGTTGTAGTGCTGTGTCACTGCAGATGTAGGAATACATTATCTTCTGTGTGTAACTGCCTCATACTGATGGTACTCACAGAGACAAATATTTATGGTGAAGTAGTACTTGATGTGATAAACCTGATGTGATAAATAATTGTTTCAAATTCACTGTCTTGGAATCAAAAAAGCTTCGATGTATTTCAGAGACATTCATGGATGTCAACAAAATTAAATATAATTTAAATATCATCAATATAAATTATAATATATCAAATTCAGGTTTATTTTTTAGTCTCATATTTATTAAAAAAGAACCTCAGTGAGCAACAAGGTGTAAATGCTGTTTTTAATAATGAACTCAGACGTTCTTGCCGACGGGTAAGAAACGCAGGAGAAAATAAGATATTTTGTCTTTGACTGCCTGAGGTACTGCGCTGAAAAATCCTATTTTCTCTGTATTCACAGTTGAACTAAATTGCTTTGCCAAATATCATATTTAAAAAAAGCTTTAGTTCAGCCCTGAGAAAAAAAAATGTGCATAAAAAATGTTTAGCAACAACAGATCGTCTCGTTTGTAAAAGTCGTCCACGGTCAGTTACAGCCACGAGACCAGAGTCTTTCCTGGTTCAGACTCAGATATATAACCATCCGTATGGTTATTTATATTTAGGATATTTATGAAAATGTCTAAGAGTATAAAAAAAAATCAGGAAGGATTTGATTATTTACCAAGATGAGATAAAGGAGGAGCAGCGCGGTCGGAGTGGAACCACAGGGACATTAAAGCCCACTGTCCTTTGTTCTACTTAGAAATGAAGCTCAGTGAGGTTCTTAGGAGACTCCCTCCTCAACAAAGGTCTGTTTTATTAATTACTTGTTAAACTTTACTTTGCAGTCATTCTGAATTACATCAAAACCAGGCCTTATTATTATCAGCCCCAGAGCTACAGACCAGACGTCACAGACAGACGTCAGTCAAATCACAGATAAATCAAATGTTGTTTTTAGAATTTAATTTGGACTTTTACTGTTTATGGTTTAAAGGAACAGATAGTATTGTGACTATGAGTGTGAACAACTGTATTTTCTGGACAGACACTTAATTGTGTATATGAGTGTGAGTCTGAATCACAGTCAACAACTGTATTTTCTGGACAGACACTTCATGAGCCGGAAACTGAAATAAAACAAAATCATCAAACAAATGTGTTTGATGTTTTTGAGTCTCTGACTAATGATGCTAAAAAAAGTGGGTTCTTCATTTGTTTGATATTTTTGAGTCTCTGGCTAATGATGCTAAAAAAAGTGGGTTCTTCTTCTAATAAAAAGTAGAATTCTCTTTGAAGAAGCCATGACAACAACAACAAAAAAACACATATGTTTCTGTGCATGTTATGTTTTGTATTTTCTTCTTTGTGCTTCATGCATCAAAAATAGAACAAAGACATGTATTCAATTACATGATTTGTTTTTCTATAAAAGATGAGTTCGAGGTCTCGTGATACTTACAGTTATTGGTATCTCTGGCTACAGCCGTGAGCCCCATGGGTTGATGGGAAATGTCTGCTCGAAGGACTTTGGTGTCTCCACCTGTGTATTTGTTTGAGCGCAGTATTGACCTGCGCGCCCAGTCTGACCAGTAGATGAACTCTGCATGGAGGGCCAGTCCGTAGAAGTTCCCAGCTCCTGAGTTGATCACGACCTGAATTTGAAGGAACAAAAACTTTTTTTAAAATTTGTTGTTTTGTTTTTTTTTTCCTTTTCAAAATTAGGCTGAAAAGTGGAGAAAAAGAACAAACGCCGCCACCACCTCAAAAATGACAGTTTAACCCCGACGTTGGAAGAGTAAATGACAGTGTCATCGGCATAGAGGTAGGAATCCATCAAACGCCTCCTTGTGGAATAGATGTGCGGAGCACCGTGGCCTCCAGCAGCTCCGTAGACCAAGCCATTATTGGGACAGGCTTGTAAGTGGCACCGCATTAGCCCCGCGCCGTAGCGGGATTAATAGGACAGGTGTTGATTAAAGGAGCCCAGTGTGGGGAAGCAACAAATGGGCATCAGGCAGTGAGAGAGGACGGAGCAGAGCAGATGGCTGAGGACGGAACATATTGATGGGAAATTAGATTTGGGACACGTTTCACTGGCAGACAGGAACACATGTCTTTTATTTCTAGCTCTTGTTTTCAACCTACAACACTTCATTTATTCTAATTACTCTTTGGGTTTAAAAAAATGTTTTGTTTGTTTTTGTTAACAAACGGCATTGAAACATTGAATTGATATTTACTTGGGTTGTCACTCGACAAAGTTGGGTTACCATGGCGACATCTTTCCCTTCGTCTGCTCCTCTATCCTGCCTTTATGTTTAACACAGACCCTGCTCCCAAATTGGCATATTGGGGGCACTCTTTGCCGTTGAATGCACTGGCAGTGAGCGATAGCCCTGCTGCAGTGGGGAGTGGTTCCAGCCTCGGAGGGCTCTTCTCTGCCATCCAACTTCAACAATCAAGATTCTTCTTAAACGACAGGAGGCCTGAAGCTGCCGTCGCTCCACAGTATTAATGTCTTGGACGCTGAGGACCAGTTCCATTGACATTTCTCCCCCTTACATTTGGGGGAGAAATGGGGGAAAGTGCTGAAGTTGACAATCAGCTGCCTCTGTTTAATTCACACTTTTTAATTGGAATGGAGGATCGACACGCAGAGCAATTTCACTGTGAAGCCTTCATTAGCAGGACTCCACTGCAGCGGGGACCCAGAGGTGAAGACTCTCTCAGCCTTGTGACCCAGCTGGGAAGCAGACGGGCGACTAATTGAAATGCACCGAGGTGCCCGGCTGCAGAGATCCCGTTACGAAAAAAACCTAAGTGCACGGAAGAAAAGATAATCTTGTCCTGTAATGCTGTGCACACCGGGGAAACAGAGGATGTACATATCTTGGCGGGGGGGTCATACATTATGTATGCAATATTTCACGGACAAAATGAAAACTCCCCCAACTGAGCCTGTTTACTTTGGCAGGGAACGACTTGTGTGATTAAGGACGCCATCCGCCCCTTCAGAGACTACGAAGACGAGAGAAAATCAAGAGGTGTCTCACATCACGGCGGCTGCGAAGGCTTCCATGTTTCAGAGCTTCTCAGTACAGTAGGAATGAGAGATTAAATGCAACACATCAAATCTGCGTCTTTTCAAGAGAAAAGGAAGAATCAGTCTGACACTCTGACACTCCGTCTGATTCTTGGCTGTTCTGTGAGCCAACATAAGCAGTGCTTAGAGACAAAAGCGTAAAATACATTCTCTCCAGTCAGTCGTCGGATCAAAGGAGGTCTCTCGCTGTGGTGAATTTCAAAATGTAAAAAAATAAAATAAATAAATAAATATGCAAATGGTTATTTCAATTATTCAAATACATTCTGAAGGAAAACAAAAGTATAAAATATATTACATCCATCAATCGTTTTCAGATTTCCATTATTTCCAGACTTACGTTTCGGCCCGAGCCGTCGTAGTCACATCTCTCAATCTTTCCAAGGCTTCCGTCTGAGAAGTAGAGCTTCTCCGCCCGGTGGTCGATGGTCAGGCCGCTGGGAGTCAGGATGTCCGTACTTATGATGATCCTCAGGTTCTGTCCCGCTAGAGTGGATCTCATGACCGACGGCCTCTGCTCGTTCCAGTTGGTCCAAAACATCAGGCTGGAGTTTAGTCACAGACAACGACAAAACATTTGTTAAAAAAAAAAAAAAAAATTCAGTCAGTCAGTTTTGTCAGTGTGTGTGAGAGAAGTCCATAAGACTTGAGATAAATCACAGTCCAGTCAATACGAACTGATCAAGATTATATACACAGTCATATCAGTCGTTTATCACCATCAGCCCAGCTACGACCTCCGTGACCTTTTATCAGCAGAGCGCCCTGAACTCATCAGTTTTCATTGGACAAACAGATTAGAGCCACAGGATGTGACAAAGGTCTCAATTATTTATGTTCAAGTCAGGAAAAAAAAAAGACAAAAGCAGCATCCATCCATCCATCTGTCCATCCATCCATCAGTCCATCCATCCGTCCGTCCGTCCATCGGTCCATCCATCCATCCGTCCCCATCTGTCCTTGTCGTGTGTCTGTGTCTGTCTCTGCTGATATCTGTCCTCAGATCCTGGTCCTTCGGCCTTTTTTTTCAGTAATGGGCAGCACATGGTTTTAAGAGCCAGTTCTGGGATATATGTTGGCAACATATCAAAAATAAAGTCAATAAAAAGATTTATAGACAAGTAAAAAGATCTTAAAAATGTATCATAAAACTAATAGGCCGGTGCAGATACAGTATCTTAAATCTGCAATAATGTGACTTTTTTTTCTAATAACTCTGACACTGACCTTCTCCATTAAGTGCAATTTATTTTAGGAACTAAGTAATAAATACCGGAGTGCGAGAGGTAAGGGAGGAGGAGGAAACGTTTGGCTTTTCCAATGTCATTGGGATATGACTTTTTGTTTTACTAAACCATTTGACTAAATAACGATGGTGTCGTCCAGACAGCAGAAAGAAAAACAACTCTGCTGCTGCTGGAGGGAGAGGAAACCCAGGATTCTGGACAAACCTCTGTCAAACTGCAGATACGTTTGTGCTGAGTCACAGAGCAACAGAGGCTAAACCTGGGGCGCAGACATTTGACCCGAGACATCAATGATTGAATAATGTGGCACAACAAAGTGTAGGTCATGCAGGAGTGTGGGGGGGTCGGGGGCTGCGACTCACTTCTGGCACTCGTCCAGGGCCAGGATGTGCGGATGGTCATCGTCAGAAAGTGTGACCACAGCCTCTCTGCTGAAGGCACCCACTCTGTTCTGGTCCACGGTCTGTCTGCTGATGGTGGAGGTCGTGGAGCTGGTCCAGTACAGAGCGTCCCACGTCTTATGATAGGACAGACCCTCCACTGAGCCCACATCTACAAGAGGACGTGCAGAAGAAAATATTTCATTTGTCCAATTCATTTGTTTCATTTGAAAAGTTTCCTCCTTTTGTCAGACTGATGTGAGGAAAAGTGACTCAAAACAACAACATCACAGAGAAACCAACGACCAGACCTGAAGTCCATCAGAAGAAAAAGGAAACGGTCAAAATTTGTAACTGGAGTCGTTTCACCCTCAGTCTGCTTCAGTTGTTCACTGATAAAGTTTTGAATAAAACTAATAAGACTGAGAAGCCACGCAGACGTCAAATAACACAACAAAAACCTTCTTAAAATCTGAAGAAGTGATTTTTTAAAATTGTGTGAGTTTCACTAAGGGTCACCAGAGCTATTCATCGGAGGAGGAGTGAAATGACAGGCGTTCACTGTGAGAGGGCGCTCTTATTGGACAGCTGCTGTTACGGCTGTATAATAATAATAATGAATCTTAGAAATAAAGAGAAAAGTTTCCTCCTTTTGTCAGACTGAGGTCTAATTATTTTGGTTTGAATTGCCGCTAACATCTGGTGTTGACTGAACCGCCAAGTGGTTGTTGCATATTTGCGTCCACACTTCCGCCGCCGCCGCTGTTCAGATTAAACATCCAATCGTGTTTCTTTGTTGACTGACAGGGAAATGACTTCACGCCTCACTGCACTGGACAGAAATGTGTTTGTGGATGATTCAGGACAGTGCAAATAGTTGTACTCCATAAAGCCGCCGCAGCGTTAGGTGTCACAAATCACACTTTGTCCACAAGATAGGGCGGCAGCTTTGTTAGTGCGCTGGAACAATCAGATCCACGCCGCGACTCTCTGTTTGCTCATTTCTAGCTCTATTTGCCATTTTGTAGATCGACAAAATAAAACATTATCAACGTCAGACAGAAAAACTAGTGGGAGATAAAAAGGAGAAGACGTGACTTTTCTCCATTTAATAAAAGTACAGAAGCATCAATAAAAACAAAACGGCTACAAAACATTTAGCCCACATCAATCGGCACATGTTTCAAGTCTGATCTTTTTTTTCTTTTCTGTCTCTGAGCAGCTCAATAAATGATGGTAATGGTGAACATGCTGGTGATGAAATGGAATTTGGATTGCACTTTTGTACCAACGCAGAAACCATAATCCAGAATATTTAGACAGCACTGAGTCGGATGATCACATATTTAACAGTGTGCAGTAAAAGCTGTCTGGCAGCTTCAGGTTTCTCGCACTTCCTTGGCAGGAGCGAGGAGTAATTAACTGGGGACATGAAGTTTAATTAGGGAAATATGGAAGATTAACATTGTCACCTTTCTGCAATGACAAGATGCAGGTAAAAACTTTCAGAAAGAAAAAAAAAACAACTTTGTTTTATTCACAGTGGCGTTTATCAAAAACGTCTTTGTTCCATTTCTTTTACCAGGAGATTTCTGGGGTAAAGTGTTCGAAAAAAGGGGTCCAGCAGGGAGTGGGGGGGTGAGGGAGGGAGTGGGGGGGTGAAGGTAGCACAACTGATCAGTGGACGGTCAATATTTATATGACCTTCATCCACTGTACGTCACCTCAGACAGCTGTCTGTCGACCCACAGTATAACAGTGTTATTAGACTCTTCACCACAGTCGGTGGTAAATCACTCACTGCACTGTTCACTGCCTAACTCTGATCTGATTTAAATTCTAATCCTAAATTAAAAATAAATCTTGACCCTCAAAATACTCTCTAATTGTTCCCAAGACTATAGTTTGAAAAACACATCCCCACGAGTACGAACAACAAACACACTCATCCAGAAGGAAGAAACTGGTGATTACATGTTGTTATAAATATATATATAAATATATATATATATATATGATGAGTACATTAGCAGAGTTCAACATGCTGCAGAGCAGAGAGTTTGAAGTGAAGGATGTGACATCAGTTGTCTGTGTAGAAACACGGAGCGTGGAGAGGTGTTAAAACTGACTCCCACTGAAAACTTCTCAGAATGCACAGGGCGGCAGCCGAGCACAACAAAGGCTTCTGCTATTCATACCAAACCAGTCATGCTTATCAAGACATGGCTTACCAAGCTTTAGTGGAGACAAGAAAAAAGGATTAGACCCATCCTGGGCCTCGTGTCTGACACTGAGATGCCTTTTATTCTCCGCATTTGGATACACGGGTATTAGACTGTACTGAGGAAATAATAAAGAGGCTCATAAAGAAATAACGCCTGAAAAACCACAGTAAACAATAACATGAATGGAGTCTTTGAACCTGGTTAAACAGTGGGTCAGAACGGAACAAACGTGAAACCACTGTGTGGTTCAACGTACGAAACGAGAACAGAACACACGGTTGGACGTCAACCATCACATCCCTGACCCTGACCATAACATGAACATGTCCCTGTCCCTGTCCCTGTCAGACTCTCTTACCCCACGACCACAGGACGTTTTGAAGACACTGTCCCAATAAGTACAGTTATACCAACACCAGCAGACACACACACACACTCTCTTATCTTTCACAAATATATACCTCATCCTAATCCTTACACTAACTGGTGTCAACTGGTGGCCCGCGGGCCAAATCAAAGCCAGTCCACGAGTGGATTCTAAAACAAACATCAAATACTAACGTTAGACAAAAATGTGATTTTTTTTTCCTCTTTTATTTCTGTGTCTGACTCTACGTACCCTCACCCAAAACATTTTCCTTCCATTTACTGTATATTCCATATCTATATCTGTATATCTGTAGCAGGAACACACACACACACAGACACAGACACAGAAATATATAAAGGTCAAAAGCACGGTCAGAAAGTAGGAGAAAAACATGTACTTACTTTCAGCAATAATAGTCCGTCCTGTCCAGTCGTCATTAATCATTTGTATATTCCCAAAGTGGACGTCGCTGAAAAATATGCGGTTCGTCCCAACAATCTTCTGGCTGTAGTCAAAGGCCAGCGCTATGACATTTTTGAAAAATGCAGGGTTTTCAAAAGGCTGGACAGGAGAGTTGAGGTCATTCTCATCTGAGAGATGGATGCTTTTCAGGATCGTCCTCTCAGAGTAGAGAAGATAACCGTCGTAGCGCTCGCAGGCAAAGCCATCATCTGCCAGGCGGCCGTGGGCGCAGGAGCAGGTCCGCCGCCCGCTGCCCAGGTGGAAGCACAACTGCTGACAGCCGCCATTACTCCTGGCACAGGGGTTGGTGCCTTGAAACCAGAGAGGTGTTCAGTTATTTATCTCTACGTGTACTATAGTATTTGTATCATATTTAAAAAAAAAAAAAAAAAGTACTTAGTTAGTTGTATAAAGATCAAGAAAGAGAAAATAAGAAAGACATCAACGGGAAAGTCAGGCTGCAGATCAATAATAATGTAGGAGGAACTATGAGCTGATAAATGTGGGGTGAAAGCTCTAACCTTTTTCTCTGCCTCTGTTGAAGACGGTGACGTCCTTCAAATTAACTCCTAGTCCACTCCTCATGGTCACCACCTCTGAGGTGTCGGACTTGAAGGCACGGCGGATGGAACCGTTGGAATGAGCCCTGATCAACAACGGAAGACATTTGTTCAGAACACTGAATTAACACAGGTGTTAGAGACATTTGTGCTTCTCGATTATCTTCCTTCAAAACTCCTATTCTTGTAGTGCAAAAAAAAAAAAAAAAATACAATTAGAAAACACTATAATTTCACTGTGGCACAAAAAAAAATATGATATTAAAATGAAGATAATTTGCCTCCTCCCAGCAGTAACCCCACCCCCCACTGTGAGAACCACTGCTGTAAGGCAAGAACATTAACCACTTTCACCCCATCGCGGCCCCCCAGAGAGACGGTTCTGGGACAGAAATGATGTCAAATCTCTGCCGTCAGTTGGTTTAGACACAAAGTTCAAGCTGCTGAAGATAAAACGGCCGTAAAGCTGAGAGTTTCTCCCTCAGTCGTAAGGACGACATTTGTTAAAAAAAAGAAGAAAACACGCGCGACAAAAAAAAAGAGAAACTGGATCAAGAATTTTTACAACTGTTTCTTTTCTCAAAGTCGTTAACCCGTCTCCTCCGACACGCCACCGGCTCCAAACACTGCTTCAAACGCATGTATAAATATGCATAAAGTAGCTGGAAATATGGCGTCATTAAGTTTAAGTGTGGCCGTTATTATACAGTAGGTGGTTCTAGAAGGATCTGCCCTTGCTGCTATCATTGAATTGTGTCTGGGGTATTTATAAAAAAACACGGAGGTGACCTTCACGCTGCTTTGAATGTTTTTTTTACACCGGACCTGTGGAGGGAGGGGTTGGTGTCAGGTTGGTGTCGCAGGCCTCGCGTGTGTGTGTGTGTGTGTGTGTGTGTGTGTATTTAAGAATATAATAAATTACCTGTCAGACCAGTAGATGTAAGGCCCAAACACAGCCACGGAGAACAGGTCCACGTTGGCCACAGACAGTACAATCTCACGGCCCTCGCCTGTCTCAAGGTTGATCCTCTCGATCTTATCTGTGCGGGTGTCGCACCAGTATAATGTGTTTTCCTGCAGGTAATTTAAAAGGAAGATGGTCCGGTGAGGAGGTGTGAGGTACTACGCTCAGATTACTGTGAGCAGTCCTACAACGGAAGTGAAGTTACTGCAATTCTCACTTCACCTCGTAGTCAATTGAAATTCCGTTGGGCCACATGATGCCGGAGTTGACCAGCGTCACCTGGTCTGAACCGTCCAGACGGGAGCGGCCGATGCAGGGATTCTGACCCCACTCAGTCCAGAAGAGAAACCTGACCATCGCAGTGACACAAATGTTAACATACAAAGTACTACAACCTGAGACAAACATTTGTTTCTGTACAACAAACTGTACTTTACTGTCAAACTATTATTAACCTCCGTTAATGAAATTCTAACTTTGGAATCAATGCAATTAATTCATTTTCTGAGGCCGCGGCGTTGAACCCTGGACGGCCGACCCCATCTTCATGATCGGTACTGGAACATGGACGAGACCACACAGATTCTCCACCTAATCCTTAGTGACATGTTATTATTAAGTCATGTCGACAGATGCTAAAACATTAGTGGCAGTTAATTAGCCTGGAGACGTTAGCCCGTCGTCTGTGGGAAGTTTTTTTTTTTCTGGTATAGAAACGGCAGCAGAACTTGACATTTCAACGATGATAAATTAATAAAACTGTTGCAGAAGCATCAGTGAACGCAGCCGAGTTTGGTTGAGGATCTACAGGCGTGGTTGGCTGTGAGGTGTTTCTGTTTTTACTTTAAATTTTATTTGGAAAGATGGAACTGCGCCGCCGTGTCCGTCTGGCCAATCAGAAACGCCTGAGTTTAAGGGTCAAATCAACGGCAGCAACAATATCGCACAACTTTATTTGTTGGACACAGAACTGGCTCCAGCCAGTTTCATGTTTGTGGTTTAGTGCCCCCTGTGGCCTGTGGGAATTTTTTCTTTTTCTTTGTTTTCTCTGAGCGTTTGCACCCTTTCATGCCCTTTCTTTGTTTTCTCTGAGCGTTTGCACCATCTCACCCTCCATCAGATGGCGCTCCAAGCGTCTAATTTTGCCAAGAGCCAACTCTGGCTGTAGAGTATGAATGAATACATGTTACTGTAGCAGACGACACAGTCAGACGGTGGTTTCTGAATCTCCAGGTCGTCAAGGTTACGGCAGTAATCGGTATCAAAGTGTTCTTTTGTTTCCAGATATGATTCCAGTGAGGATCAGACTGTTAATGTGAGTCAAAGTCAGACCCAGCCGTCTCCTACCCCTTCTGTGGATGTACAGCGATGGCCCTGGGCTGGTCCAGTCCTTCAGAGATTACCACTGAGCGGTACGCACCGCTGAGACGGGAGATTTCTATCAGGTTAACGCCGTGGTCCGTCCAGTACAGATTTCCTGTGTGGAAACACAAAGTGTTCCGTGTTACACGTGGGGCTCAGTTGACAATCAGAGAAACACGATCGACAACAGTGTGAATACACAAACTTAATGATGTAACGAGGCGCCGTTAACGTCAGATGATAATTTAACGGCCAATAAAATACTCGCCTGCGATCCAATCAACGGCGATGCCTTCCACTCGGCTGATGCCGGTGGTGATGACGTCCTCCCTCCAGGTCTGATCCCGTTTGGCGCGGGAGATTCTGTTCAGCCCCATGTCAGTCCAGTACACGGTGTCATTTCCTGAACACAACGCAGATAATGAGCTGCCACAAACAACGGCGCTCAGAGTTTACTGCTGCTTGTTCCAAATCACTGAACGCTGCGTGGGACCGTAAAGTATGAAAGTGCCCCCCCCACCCCCTGCTCTGCCCCCATTAGGGGCCACACAGATCTGTTGACAGGGTGTAAAGAGGGGAGGCCACGTTGGCTGACCTCACGGAGCAGTGATTTCTGTCTCCGTCTGCGTGTTCCTCTCTGAGGCTGCGTCACGTCGGCTCAGATTGTTAGGAGTTTAGAAGGCGTATTATGTTCATTTGTAATTTCTTGTTTCTGCTGCCTTCCTGCACTTAACACCGAGCTCACTCCTGACAGGATACGGCTGCGGGGCTTTCATCTGTTCTGCTCCGCCGGCCCGGCTTCTATAATGACATGTAAATTACGCTGCGTCTTTTAGATGAGCTTGGTAAAGCATCCTCACCTGCACAAAGTTACAACCGGAGAGAACGTTCCTCAGCCTTCCTCAGCGTGTTGGTAACGTCATCGTGCTGAATCACCGTCGGGCTCCGAGGATTCTCTTATTTTTAACTATTATTTTTAACGTTTTGTTTCTCTCATTACAGCGAATAAATGGAAAATGACCTTTGACCTGCCTGTACCCTGTGTTTCTGTAGAAAATTCTGGATGAAATATAATGGTGGATTTATTTAAATGTATATTATAATATCTGTCCTCAGTAGTGGAAGTTTGGATTAATAATCTTCACCAAATGAATTATTTACAATAAAAATGAATTAATAAATCAAATGAACTCCGTCACATCATGAAAAAAAATATCAAATTTATGTCAGTGTTCGTAACAACCTGCCGTACAAATAAATAGTAATTCTCGAAAGCAGGGTTCTCAACCTCTGGCCTGGGGGCCACTTTGACTAAAATGTCATAGTTGGTCATTTTAATGGGTGGGGGGGGGGTGTACTAGCAGTATGGACTGCAGTATTTATAGAATACTTATACTGAACGTGAACTTCCTGGTCATATATATTTTCTACTGAACATTAAAGGTTTAACACGGATGCAGTTCTCCAGTGAAATGAAGGGGGCAGCACTGACCCTCAGCTAATTTGGCTTGGAGACCCCGGCTCTTCACGTGTCTGTGAACCACCACCAGGGAGCAGCACGGCAGCGGTGGGAGGTTTATGGTGCTGGCTCAACACAAAACAGAATTCCAACCCACAATCCTCCTGTTCCCAGCTTGACCTTCTGACCCCGCGGCCTCGGAGCGCTCCATCCACACAAACGCATTTGTTATCCATCTTTAAAGATTTGACCAGACGGAGTGAAACTGTTTAACCTGCATGTTGTCGCTCCGTGGTTCGACCTCCTCGTTCACCGTGAGGCTGAACGCTGCAACTGCATTTAGTTCATATTGTCAAATCAGATTCCGCAGATTTTCTTTTTTTTTTTCTCCATGTCCTTCATTTCATTTTTACATCAATGCTGAAATTGTAGCATCTGTGGAGAAACATATTATTGCTTCTCTGAGTTTTTAAGAAAAGAGCTGCTGCAAATCCTTCTGTGGACGTTGTTGTTTCCTCTGATGTACATATGCAATTTCCTTGATACAGGATTTCTTATCATGCATCAGTGGCAACATATTGCAATCGCTGTACGTGGAAGGCTACAAGCCCGGAGTATATTCACAGTGTAATAAATATATCATTTTATCATAAGAAACAGCGCACGATTCAAGACACTGGACACGTGTCGGAGAGCAGCGCTCGGATACAAAACACTGAGAACGGCTTAGGATTATGAAGAAACAGGTTGACGTTATTACTGCGGAGGTTTTCTTTTCTCTATAAGTTCCCTTTCACTGCTCTCCACCGTACCACCAGTGATGGTTCAGGAGGCTGCAGCACGTTCACCCTTCTGTTCCTGACACACTCATGATAATACGGCACTGTCACCAACTGCTCCATAAATATATATATATATATATGTTTTATATTTTATACATGGTTTTTACACTGTTTCACCACCAGGGTGAGTGATGAACCCAACTTCCTTCTCCACGTCCAGTGTGAACTTTGATACTGACAAAAGCCTCAAATCTACAGGGTAGAAGATAAAAATATATAAATATATCAAACTGAAGGTCCTCCATGTTTGTGGAACCTAAACTCACAGAGTGTTTCTGGCTTTACAGCCTTCGGAACGAAACGGGCTGCGATTGACTTCCTGTTTAGGGAGAGATGAATAATCTGACGTCCAGCCGGTCAGGAGGAACACGAAGAAAATAGTTTTGATCGCAGCCCGTGCTCCTCTCAGGTATTAGACAAAATAAAAACAACTCTGTGTGTGTGTGTGTTTATGTGTGTGATATGTTTTCCTACCAGCATGAAAGTCAACTCCAACAGCAAACAGAGTTCCTGTGATGGGCATCAGGGCCTCACTGTTGTCATTTGGTTCCAGGGCGATTCCCCGGATTCCCTCGTGGATGGAATACATCAGGAAAGAGTCCACACCTAAGAACAGACGCAGGTTCCTGAATGTAATTCCATTTCTGTGTTGATTAATCCTGATTATCTCAGGGTTAGGGTTAGAAAACATAAGGGTAGAACGGCCGATCACCTTCACACGACATGCGATCCGTCCGTAGTTTGTAGCCCAGGGTGCAGGAGCAGCTCCGCGTGTTCTCGGACGTCGGGAAACACAGCTGTGAACATCCTCCGTTGTTCACCTGGCACTGGTTTCTCCCTGAGTGATTGGCAGACATGAAGGTGAGCTTTGAGGTCAGGTGGTTGGACGTTCTTCTTCTGCTGTCGTGCTGCTCACCTTTCTGACCCTCTCTGTCGTACACCTTCATATGGACCACTCCACTCGTCTTGTTTCTGAGGACCGCGGGGTTTCGTCCGTCCCTCTTGTTCACCGTTCCCAGCTGGGCCCCTTCCTCGTCCGCCCACCACAGTTTTCCACCTGACACAGAGTCAATTAGACAATGGACAATTATCTGAGATAACCTTTGACATGCAGGTGTGTTTGATAGAACTGATCACCATGTGGTGTCGACCTCGACGACCTCAGCTTCACTGTGATCTAATCCACCGTGTCGAAGTGTTGAAAGAACGTTATTGTACACTAACAACACTAACAGGATCTTTTCAAACTGTAAAGTGTTGAGAGAACGTTATTGTAGTCAACACTAACAGGATCTTTTCAAACTGTTTTCAAAAATGTAGGTCAATATATATTTTATATCTTTACCATCTATCAAACATATAAATAAAACCAAAAACACAATATTGAATTAAAAGTATTTGGTTGTATTTAGATATGTTTTTATTGGATTTTATTGGATCCATCATCCATCCATCCGTCCATCCATATTATTTAGCAGTGACGTCATCTTTCTCGTCCTGTAATCATTAAATCTTCTGGGCAGTAAAACTATATCATGTCTGACACTGTACTACTCTAGTACTCCGACAATACTACAGTTGTATTCACAGTTGTATTTCAGCTAATGACCACGAAAGTTTGGCTTCAGCAAAAGATCAACTGTTAAACTTTTTACTACCAATAAAAAAGACACAAAGTCAAAAGTGATTAGCTCGAGTTGATCAGAGTTAAAAACATTTTCTTCTTCATTTTTATAGTAATACTCAGATGATTATACACAGAAACTAGAACTCTCAACACACCGACATGTTTGAGGTTCTTCAGTCTCTAAACTCCTTCAGAGTTGATGGATTCTTAACATTGACCCTGGTCTTCTGTTCACGCCCGTGATTTTTATTAAATCTGATTTAAGTCAGGCTTTTGTTCAGGCAGGTCAGTGCCGTCAACCACGTCCTTCAAAAACAGAGACCAGAACCCAGTGTTCTTACAAGTGTTTTTACATGCACTTATATATTTATATATTTTCGTTTCCTCCATCCTCACATGATTCCTGAGACGGTGATTTTTTCCATGTGAAGGATCACAGCAGGACTCTTCTGGGATTGAACATGTTGTATGTGTCAGTAGGTAATGAATGAATAAATCGATACTCATTAAATATGAGCGTGTGTGTGTGTGGTTTATGATTTATGCCATTAATTGCAAAAAAAAACATGAGAGACCTTGTGTAAATTATTCAAATAAAAAAAAAAATCAAAAATAAACACACAGCACTCCTTCCCACTTTCATTAACAGCTCCAGGCTCGGAGGAACGTGAAACTCATTTCCACAGATCAGACAAACGCCCCGTGAGTGGAAATGACAGTCTGCATGCAGTTTACAACACATCTGACCCCGGAGGGCACGCCAGCCAAGATTAGCTGTGCACTCCGTGTTAATTTGATGCCACGGGGAACGCTGGGCGGCCATGATTGTTCAGTTGTGGCACATCATATTCAGTTCTATCCCGACTGCTGGTTTGATTCCAGACAAGTTCAGACTTGACTTGTGCTGTTTAAATAGAAGTCTTCACCTTCACCTCGAGCCAATCAAATACCACAGAGCCTCAGGACTGGAGCGGATCAAATTTGGAAAAAAATAAAAAAAATAAAAAAGTGAAAAGAAAACCATCATCTCAGCTAAAGATTTCAGATTATTCCTTTACAGAAGAGTACATTCCATTTGAATCAATTGTCTCCTGCCTGTTCCAAAGAAAGGCTAGTATAAAATCCAATCTTAATCACTTTAAAGATCGATAAAGCTGGTACAGAGCAGAGGAACGAGGGGAACCACGGTTTGATTAACGCTCTTTTACATTAATTACATAAATCTCCAAAGACGACCTGGAGCTGTCCTTACTTCACAGATCAATGTCTCCCTGAACAACTGGAGTATCATTCTGTTTCTCTCAAGTCCATGCTACTGTAAATGTTTCATATTTTTGTTTGTTTTTTAAGAGGACATTTCAAGAACGTTGTCTCCGACGACAAAAGAGGCACAGGAGAAGAAAATGAGCATTCCTTCTGCTGTTACATTCTCACTCCTGACATTTTCAGGTTTTTCTGCTTTTTTTTCTGCTGTTGTAAAACTGTTAACTGAAAAGATTATCTCGGTGTGAGGAACTGCTTCACTGCCAGACGAAAACAAATCACAGATAAACAAAAGATACCAACTTCTGCAGCAGGCTATTAAACTAAACTGCGCCCAGCAGTGGTTATTATGAAACACTGATGTGGTAGAGTACTTTTTTATTACTGAAATATTTATAACGTGAAAATGAGGCAAACGGGAAGTTAAAGGAATCAAATAGGTTTGTTGAACGTCTGATATCAAAACAAAAACGTTATATATATATATACAGTATATCCACAGTAAAATGAAAAAATGGATATGGATGGATTTTAATTTATTTAGAAAATGCATATTGAAATGCACTCTGGAAATCTGGATCGTTATGTCAGCAGCCAATCAGCTGATGTTTTTGATCAACCTGAGAGAACTGACCGACACTTGAGGACTTCCACTGATGGATCGTGGGATTCACTGGATTCAGCACCGACACCAAGAATCAACATGTAATGAACACCTTCTAGCCTTTTCATTAGGAAAGAAGTAAGAAAATCAATCATCCGTCACTCCGGCGTGGGGTTTTAATTATCTGAAGCCCCTGCTGCTTCACACCGCTCTTGGAAGGACCCTCTAAATGGTTCCATTCTTCAGCCACTTAACTGGTTAAACAGGTAATCCCTCCACACTCTTGAACTAATCCCCAGTGGAAATCTGATGCACTCGTGACAAGCTCCACTCACCCATCACCGCCAGAGCCGTGCCTCTGCCCATCTCCTTCTTCACGGTCTCCAGCACCTCCAGCCCGCTGCCGTCCAGGCTGCACCTGTTGATGGTGCTGTTGGCGGCGCTGATCCAGTACAGCCTGTTGGCCGTGTAGTCCAGGGAAAGACCTGAGGGCAGAGGAGTGGAGAGAGAACACGCTACATTAGGCTAACAGAAGGGGGAGCTCTGACTGGCAGGGAACCAATCAGAGGTCTTGAAGGGGGGGGGGCTCTGATTGGCAGGGAACCAATCAGAGGTCTTGAAAAATGATATGATAAAACGATGGTTTAACCACATATAAATATACACTTAAATAAAAATATATATGTAAATATATAGATATAATCTACATACAGTCTCTGAACTGAAAGAGTCCAGTTCAACTGCGTTAACCCTCTTCACATCTGTATCTGTTTCTTCGTCTTCTTATTGGGCACCACGGGGTTAAAAGGTTGCCTGTTCGATCCCCCTCTGAGGGAAACTCTGACTAGAACGTAACATATCCAGTGTTTGCAGCCGTGTGTGTCGGCGCGGAGAAACAACAGGAACAGACTGAACACTTTCAGTCTGTTTTCAGTCTGACGTGTTAGATTCCTGTCTGGCAGATTCACAGTTACAGCACAGCCCCCCCCCCACCCCCACCCACCCCTCACAGAACCAGGTGGATACTGAGGGGCTGCTGCTGGAGTTCTGTCAGACAAAGGTCTCTCCTTCAGCTTCAGGCTGAGGCTCTGGTCAAACAAGGCCACTCAAGTGACTCCATAGAACAGCAGGGCAATTAAGAAAGCACTGACTGAACCAGTGAAAAATGAAGGGAATTAAGAAACAGTACAAAACAATTACCACCTCTAAAAAAACACACCCAAATACGTGCACTTTGTTCGACTTCACTTGGTGGATTAGACTACGGAACACACACCTGATCAGGTTTTTCATGGTTAGGGCGTTAAAAAAATAAAAAATAAAATAAAATACATGCCCCCTTGTGGTTACATTTGAGTTTGTGAACAAAGGTGATCCAGCAGCCGGGGGCGTTTTAGCTGCAGAGAGGAGAGCACCGCTGTAGAGTCAAATGATCTTTTCAAAGGCGACACATTCAGCCATGTTCACCAGATGAAGCAGAACACAGGAAGTCATCACAGCTGCTGTGGAGCCCAACCTGAGCGGCGTCCACATTAGAGCTGCTGACATCACAGAGAGACCACGACGTCCAATCGCCACTTATGACTCTGTGCAATGATCCCTTCGTTTTACACTTGCACAGACACGTGTTGGAGACGGTAAATCTCCAACTGTCACTTTCATCACAAATATATGGAGGAAATACAGTACATTTAAATAATATTGTTATTTGGCCAGAAAATGTCAGGGTTTAGTTCCACGTCTCACCTGATCCACTCTGTGAACGTCATCATCAGTGGATTATGAACTGATTAAGGCATAAAATGAGAATATTAAAACTATGGCCCCGACGTCTTCACTGGAGAATTTCCATCCTGTTACAGTTCAAATCATGGAATTACTTCGTATAAATTTGGAATGAAGTAAACACAGATGCAAAGTGGTGTATCCAGTGGCACAGCTGCTGAAGCCTGGAAATTTAATTAAACACTATTACCATAAATTGAATCCATAACCAAGCGATACTGACAAATTTGCTCAGTTTTATGTTTGCAGTGAACTATCGCACGTCATCCAGACGACAGTAAACCTGAGGCTCCTGATCTATCGGAGGATCGGCGTTACTGCAAACCACCCAACATGGTTTTTTTTTGGTCACGTCACATTAGGTTATGAGATGCGTGAACATGCTTGTATTCCTGTGTAATGAAAGAAAATTAAACTTGAAAACAAATGATGTTCACAGTCTACTTGGCTAGCGCCCCATGCAGGTCGGACTGGAATGGAGGTCTACTTCATTATGCTAACCATGGCTTTCATACTGACCTACAGGTTCCCTCTGATTTTGCTGGAGGACCTTGCTGTTGCTCCCGTCCATGTTGGCCATGTTAATTGTGTTGCCATCTGTCCAATAGATTTTCCTGCGTGGAAAGGTGTGAGGTGAATAAGTAGCGATTCATCCAGGCATGAGATATAATGAGGTTTATAAGAATCAATGAACGACGTGTGTTTATTAACTGCAGTCTGAGAGCCAGCCAATAGCGGACGACTTTGCAAAGAACCTTTCAAGGTTGTAAAACAGCTCTTACTGTTTACAACCGGGAGTCGATCTCTTATTTGTGCACGCGGTGTCGTCGGACTTCCTAAAACCGAGCAATGAAAGCGGAGAATTGACAGAGTGCACGCCCCGCTCTAATCTACTTACCCCTTGGCAGGATGCACTACAAGACACCCGGGCTTATCAATGCCGTGGATGATGGAAGTCTTCAGGGACCCATCAAAGCGAGCCACATTGATTTGTGACTCGTCATTTTCAGAGCTGAGCCAATATAAGTTCCTTGAAATCCAGTCTAAAGCCAAGCCGCGGCAGTTCACGATGTCTGTCGGAACAGAACACAACGGTTGGGTTAGGCAAAAAGAAAAAGAGAAAAAAAAAAAGAAAGAACCAAGATGTCAAGGACAGGTGACCATGTTTAAACCGACCTGTGGAGATGATGGTCTCCAGCTCAGTGCCGTTGATGAAAGCCCGTTTAATGGTCTGCGTTTTGATGTCGGCCCAGTAAATCCTCTCCTCCAGGGCATCGTAGTCCACCATGCTGACGTCGTCGATGTCTGGAACGGTCAGCGCCGTCATGACGTTCATGTAAGGGTTGTCGATGTCCACGCCGCGGATTTCAGACCGACGCACGTACAGGAGGAATCTCTTCAGCGCTGGAGGGAAGATTGAGAAATGAATAATTAAAAAGAGGCAGGACTGAAAACACACACTGACACACACACTGACACAGACACACACACACACGTATATATAAAAAGAGGAAAACCATAAAGGATCTCTGACCGTCAGCGCCGTCATGACGTTCATGTAAGGGTTGTCGATGTCCACGCCGCGGATTTCAGACCGACGCACGTACAGGAGGAATCTCTTCAGCGCTGGAGGGAAGATTGAGAAATGAATAATTAAAAAGAGGCAGGACTGAAAACACACACTGACACACACACACACTGACACACACACACACACGTATATATAAAAAGAGAAGAACCATAAAGGACTTCTGACTCACCAAAGCAGGACTGTTTGTCAGTTGAAAGCTTCATGAGGTGTGGACAGGTGCAGGAAGCCGTGCGGTTGTAATTGATGAGACACAGATGTGAACAGGGGCCGCGTCCATCATTGGCTTCACACGGGTTAGAGGCTGATGAGAAGAAAAGACAGGAAATGAAGGAGGACGTGGCAGAACATCTTGTACCAGACGTAAAGAGACTTCATCAAGGTCGGACTGAGGATGGGAGACGACACATGTACACGAGCGTCAGTCAAAAAGTTCCGAGACAGATGCTCCAATTCCATGTCTGTTTTTCATCACTAACATGTTTTTGATGGATTTGATATTTTTGATCAGTCTATCATCACCAAGCTTTGAGCCGTGTTATCTTTTATTTGATCAGGATTTTTAAAAGAATCATCAGAGCCACATTTGAACCAAACCTCTTCAAATGAATCCAGTTTTTCATCTCGCTCCATCTGATTCTCTGTTTTTCCTACTTTTCCCAAAAAAAAGAAAAAAGAAATAAAAATTGGACAGGAAGTGAGTTTCAAAGACGCAGGTTGTGACCCGTTACCAAAGAAGATCCTCTGATGGAAACACGTGAACAGAAGTGTGAAGACATCAGTTCCTTCATGTTGTCTCTTTGACTTCGACCTCAGGACGTGAGTCAGGTCTGGTTCTAAGTCTGGTTCTGACTGGACAGAAGTTTTCAGGACTACGACCTCTGTCTGCTCACTGTGTCCACGACACCAGCACAGCAAGGTGAATTTCACACACCTTTAAGTGTAATTTAAAAAGGGATAATGCATTGGGAACAAATCACCGCTGCACGACTTCAGAAAGTCACCCACAGTTCAATTATTTCCCGTTACCCTGTAATTGCATTTCATTCAAGCCGTGTCTCCGTTTCACCACCTACTCTGGGTGATTTGTGTCAAACTGCCTCGTTCAAAGTTCATTTGCAGCACATTTACAGTAACGTAAAGTGACATTATGGAGAGGCACGTTGCATCACTAATACGGCTTATTTAAGGGGAAAAAATTCCGTCTACGTGTGAGACCCAAACAGCATCCAGCTGAGTCACGGTGCTAATTGGGGGAAACATCACAAAGGCACAGCATTCAAAGGAGCCATGATTTCGGGGGCTGATCGGCAGCACCCACGGAGGCCGCGCTCTTTGCTGCGACCTGTCAGATTTTGGCAACGAAATGAAGAAAATAAGGGGCGCTTTTCACAAACAGGCTGAGAAGCTCATATTCATGCACCGTCCATTTTCAAAGAAGAGCCATCGTGGTGATTAGAGCTGCACAGAGGCGTCGTTATGAGCATCTGTATTCAGGAACAGCACCAGAGGGGGGTGTTGTTTAGAACATAAGGACCGTTTAGCAAGGACAGGCTGGATCTGGGGGGATTTATTCACAGAATACCAACACTTGAGTGTCTCCACAGCCTTACTGGTTACTGGGCTGATCTGTGGGCCATGTGCTGTCCAATCAGTGATCTTAGTGCCCCCCCCCCTTTGTCCCCCTCAGCTTCAGAGGGTCCTGCATTTTAACTTTGAACATTTTACACCTGGAACCTTTAGGGTTTGGCCGTTAAAAATGTAGTGATCCTTCAGTCAGACAGAAATCTATTTCCATTCCATCCTGTGTGAGTCTGTGAATTTACAAATTTACTCAGAGACTCAAAGTCGGCGTTTCATTAAAACTAAAACCAGACACTACAGGGACCGCACGAAGAACGCTGCACTAACAAAAGGTACAGACAAAAGGCTACGTTTGTTCAAGGTAAAACAGAGTTCATCTGCAGAGAAAACGACCAACTCAAATCTAAACGTAAGCCTGGATTAGGTAAGACGTTAGCATCTAATAAATGGAATGATAATGAAGACGCTGACTTGCGTCTGTAGACTGAAAAGCTACAAATAAATGAAGGTTTGGAAAAAACACATCATCAACGACCTTGACTTGTTGTCTAATATATATTTACCGTCATCTGAACAGGTGAACACGCCACGCTGAGTCTTCAGACGTACAACAGTAAATGTACGATGCATAATACGATCTTACGATCCCCGAACAAAAAGTAATAAGTCGTAAACAAACACTGGTCCTGGTCATAAATCCTGCATCCAGTGAAAACAAAAGGACAAATCCGTCTTTTCTTTGAACATGTAATCATTATCATTACACATTCTAATTATTACACCTATTGTCAGAGAGTAATTATTTCCACTACACCTAACAGTACATTTATATTCAGGATCTCTTCCCCTCAAGATGCTAATGAGCTCATGATTCTAATTAAAAATGCAACTTGTTTGATCTATTGTAATTGTCTTTATATGAATCCTTATCATCTGGATGAACAAGACTGATAAAACAAAGTGACGTTAGCTCACATCAAACATGGAGTGGTTTTTTTTTAAAATCCTTTTTCTTTCATTTTCATCAGGACACTGAACATCATTAATAATAACAGAGAGTTTGTTTGGATGATTTGGACGATTCTGTCAACGTCGTACGATCAGCTAATCAACGTGTTTTACATCACCTGTGATCGCAGCGCGACGACCGGCCTGCTAATAGAAACGCTTGTTCCCCGTTCTGGTGTCAAAAGCGCTGCCTTGACTTTCAAATGACATGCAAACCACTTAAGGGCTGTTTATGCCTCCAGTGGAGCTTAGCTGC